ACTTACATATTTGGTCAAACATTTGATCACTTTAATTACAGAAATAAAGCTGAAAATGAAATTTTAATTTTTAATAGAAAAACCGTTGAAAATTCGATTTTTCTTTTTTAATATTTTCCAAAGAAAATTTTTACCAACAGTAGAAAGTTTTTTGATGAAATTATTTTCATTAAACATTGATTCAATTTATTAATCAATAAAGAACGTTTTTAGTAGAAGAAACAAGCAACAAACGTTTGAGGAGAGTAAATTATGAAGAATCGATCCGATGCTTTTCTGATTGCAATGCTTTTCAGCTATAACCACATATGAATCAATTTTCTTCCTCATGTCTGGTATGATAAGAACCGGTTCTTCCTGGAGATTCAAAGCTCCTTCTGCATTCGTTGTCATCAAGTGCTCCGCCATACATTCCACTATTTCTTCCTGATCTGGATATTCATAATCAAGAATTTCTTTAAAAAGATTCTTAATCGTAGAGTCATAAAATGCTTCATTTTCTTCTACTTCACATTCCGTTTTCACGATAAAAATAATTAAGATCAAAAACAAAAAGTTGAAACATCTGAAAAATTTTCAAAATTTGTTTTTCTTTTTAAATTATTCTTTAAAAATTTTTATCCTTACGACATGATATTAATAGGTAATTGTTGACGATTATCTTGTTTTCTAGTCTTAGCAAATGAAAGTTTTTGTGAATTTAAAAGTTTCTTAAATTTAAAGAACTTTAAAATTGATTATTTTCACATTTGTCTTTTAAATGTCTTTTTCTATTTCCTGCACTTATTTGGATACTTTAATTATTTTTTTAATACATGAAAATCTAAATCGTGAAACTGAAACATTTCAAAGTTTAAAAAATGAAAAACTGTTGAATTGAATTAATAAACTTCGTTGATTTTATTTCATGGAGATTAATTTTAAAATGGTACCATTGGAGCGTTTAAAGACTCGTCATTAAATAAATCAAACTTAATGTTTCTTGATCGTAAATATTCCTTATCATTGTCCTCAAAATCTTTTTCAATATTAATATTCCAAAGTTTCAGGTACTTTAAGTTTTTACTGTTGTCACAAATCATCACATAAATGTTGTTGTTCATTCCGATCCATTTGTCGATAAGTTCAAGATGCTCTAACTTAAGTTTTGTTGTTAAAATATTAACAAACTCATCTGACAAATCTCCAAAGAATGTAAAGTTTATAATTAATTTAGTTATTCCTGAATTGTTACCTAAAAATTGCTTCCAATGTTCGAGTTCAATGTTAGTTTCACAAATGTTAAGACTTTTTAAGTTTTTAATTTTAATATTTCCAAATATCTCACTTGGAAACTTTGACACTTTCAAAGAATTTATCACTTCATTTTTATTTAAATATTCTATCGTTTTTAAATCAATTTCTTTCACGCTGAGTTCGAGTGTTTGAACATTTGGGAAGATTTGAAGAAATGAAGCAATTGGAAGATTTTCTTGATCAATTGATAGTGACAAAGTTAAAACATTTCTATTAACAAATTGACTTAAAAAGTTTAAATTTAGAAAGTTGTAATCTTTAATATTCAAGTTGACCTTTTGCAGGTTCTTTATTTGAAAGATTATCATGAAAGATTCTTCGAAATATTGAGTACGATCCAATCGCATTTTCATGCTGCTAATAGAAAGTTCAACGTCCTCAAGTTTCTGTTGATTAAGCAAGAATCTCTCATAATTTTCCATAACTATAAAGTGACATTGATGAACACTCAGCGATGTTAATTGAAAAGGAAAATCTCTCTTCACTGTTAAAAAATTTGAGAATCGAATGTTAATCAATTCCAAAATTTTCAACTTCTTTTGATTGCACAAAAATATTTCGAACGACTCTAAATTTTCACTATTTTTATCTTTGGCTTGAAAACAAATCTCATGAAGATTCTGAGCTTGTTTGAAAAGCTCAAAAGTTATATCAGATTCAATGACCTTCAAATGTGTTAAAGATAGAAAATTTGGAACTTTTGAATGTTCGAAAAAGTCTCCACAAACCGCAACGTTGTCCAACTCGACATGTGTCAATTGTGGCATCGTTAAGAGAATTTGATTAAAATCATGATGAGACAATCCACAACCGTTCACTTCGATATGTTTCATGTTATGTCCGATGCTGTGCAATCCATCAATCACAATTTCCATTGAATCTTCTAATTTGAATTCGGTCATTTTAACATTCTGATGAACTCTCACAAAACTTGTCAACACTTTGAAGTCCCATTTCCTTTTAGGCGTAACTTTCATTATGAACTTCTTCATTAACTTTGTTGATCCACTCACAACATCAGCAAACAACTGACAAGTCATCATTACTTGCTTCAGGTCTTTGACCGAAAGATACGAGAGAAGTTCAATTAAAATTTCGTCGGGAAAGTTTTCTATACAAATTTCACATGTCCTTGGGAAATTTTCCGTCATTTCTGTTGAATGAAACTTTTCTCAAGCTTTTTGACTTGAAAGCTTTTCATTTCTTCTACTTACCACTCATAGTTTATGATTTTGTTTGCTTTCTGTTGATGTTAATTAAAATATTAAGAAATAAATAAAAATTAAATTAATCGTCCACCCACGTCTTTCAATCTCAACTGCAATATCTCAACTAATTTTTTTATTTTCGTTTTACTTTCTGTTGTCATCAATGAGCTCGGTTTTTTGTAGATATTTTGTTTATATCATGTCAACAACAACATCCAAACATCGTGTCTCGGTAATTTATTTCTCTACTTGCGAATTGGTGTTTGATTATAAATATTCTTAACTTCACAATTGCATTTGAATACAAACGTCAACGAATTTTAAAAAGAAATACAAAAGAATTGCTGTATCGTTAAAATTCCTTTCAGAACTTTTTATTTCACTTCGACTCACTCATTTTTTATTTCCCTAAAGACACGTGCAGGGACGAAAACTTTTTCTTGGCTAATATTTTGATTTTTTGTTTGATGCGCGCAGAATCAAAACAACGAGAATCCTTCACCTTTCCCAGACATTAATTTCTTCCCCCACAACAAGACACAAAAATATCTGCCGAATTGTTCCGAACAATTCTATGCTTGTTTAATTACACAGGAAATTTAATCTTATCCATTCGAATCAAAAAAGATCACACGACATTAAAATACAATTTTAAATTTTTCTTTTATTTTCTTTCAAGATTTCCAGTTTTGTTTTTCAGTTTTTTTTTTGAGACAACACAAAAAAAAATTCTTTCGCTAATATTGTTAGATAATTTTTTTATGAAAGATAAACAGGCGGTGCCGGTTCACCCCACTCACCAATTGCAGAATCGTAGTAAAGTCCAGCACGGTATGGTCCCAATTCCCATGGAACTTGATCTTCCATATGAGTCAATTGAACTCCTAAATCTTCCAGAGTTGGAACACTTTTCTCAACGACATCTGTGGCGTATTCACGTTCAACACGTTCATGATGCAAGTAGCCGATAGGCCATGACGGGCAAATCGCTTCTGTGAACGCGACTTTCAATTTGAATGTTGGATCAAAACGAAGATCGTAGCGATGGTATCCCCACCATTTCGCATCTTTTCGCATTACACGATGGAACCAATCGACAAGTTCACTCAGTTTAATGCGACGTGGTCCAACAGCTTGGAAAAGTTTTCCTTCTGCATCAGGATCTTTGATTGCATTGACAATTCCACTTGCAACGTCACTAACGAAAACAGGTTGCTTAACTGTTCTTTCACCATTGTACCATAACGGCATGAAACGGAACATACGACGCCAAACATGCGCGTAATAACGAAGGAAACGATCTTCTTGTCCGTAAATGTCTGATGGTCTGAAGATGATGGCTTCGGGAAATTCCTCGCGTACTGCAAGTTCTCCTGCATATTTACTTCGAAGGAATTCACTTCCTTCTTTATACACTAATGGTTCAGGATTTGGTGTAGCGTTTAAAGCTGACACGTGGATGAACTTTTCAACACCAGCTTCACGTGAAATTCTTGCAAGACGACGCGGTCCTTCATTATGAACTTCATCGAATGAGAAATTTCTAGTTTCCCAATCGCGACCAATCAAATTAATAACAACATTGGAATATTTCACTGCTCTTCGGATTGATTCATCGTCCATGAGGTGGTAAGGATGAAAGAGAACTTGTCCCAAGTCACCACAAACTTTTAAACGAAGAACGTCGTAGTGGTCGCCTCGATATGGGACAATAATCTTGAAATTATGACAAATTTAAATAAATGTTTAGATTTGGTTGAAAATTCCTTACCTGTGATCCACCTTTTCCCAATTTATTACAAACATAACGACCTAAGAATCCTGATGCTCCAAAAACAGTGGCGACGATTCCATTAAAACTGGATCTTCCACCAGTTCCCCTTTTAAACGCAGCTGGATTTGTTGTTCGTAAAGGACGAATTTCTGGTGGTTGTGTTGAGTAGTTTGCCTTTGCATTTAAGCACACAACACCGAGGAATCCGGTATGTTGTTCTTAAAGTGAAAGAAAGATCGAAAAAAAAAGTTTATTTGTCAGAAAAATTGCATAACAAAACAAATGGAGAAATCACAGCGACACTTATCGATGCAAAGCACTTTTGAGTTTAAGCAAAATTTATAACTTACTGGCTCCATTGAAAAGAATTAAAGAAGCCATTCGGTGTTAAATCTTAGGAAAATTTATATTAAAAACTTTTCCTTGTACAACAACAAAGAATTGATCCGCACACCCCGGTCAAGTCTAATGAAAAATGAAATTTCTTATCAAGAACGAGAATCATTGACACAAATCATGCTTTTTCAACATTCTGCCTTCCCCAACAACCTTTTTAAAAAAAATTACTCGGTAAGTCCAATTTCCGATGTGGTTGACACAACCTATCATTCGTAGAAATTAAAAGTTTCAAAACGGCAGATGTGCCGAGAAGCCGGAAGAGTTAAGACGTGTTTGTTTATTTTGCCAAACCAGAAGATATCGTGAATCGGAAATTTAAATTAATGTGATTTTAATTCAAAACACAAAACAGGTGATATGCTGAAATTGCATTAAACCATAAAAAGTATTAATTCAAGGATTTGAAGTGTAATAAAACTAAAGAAATTTGATATAAAAATTTGAAACAAAAGGTAAATGATAATGTGAGTAAAGTGTTTGCTTATACTCAAAAATTTAAAGTACTCTTATCGAGTTTATTAAAATATGGAAATCTTTATTGAATAATTTTTTATTCAACGTCATTCTTCAAAATTTTGAACATCAATTTAAAAACAAAACTTCACACACAACTAAAAATAAACTTTACTGACGAATAGAAGTTTTTCGTAAAGTTTATGTAAAACATTAATGATAAGAATATTTTCAACGAATTTATGTATTTTACAACGTATGTAAGTATGAAATGCATTTGTAATCAAATGTACCATTGTTTACTACTTCGGAATGCCTTCCATGGTCAGTCTCGATGAATCATTTGAATTGTTATCGTGTTTGTCTGATTATCTGTTCTCGTTTTCTCGGTATGGACTTATGATACCAGACTTTGTCATTAAGATCGAGAAAAAGAATAAAATAAGGAAAAGAAAGTGAAAAATGTCAGTTGATTGATCATCATTTCTCTGTTCAATGGACAATCGTAAATATTTCTGTGACAAATGCGTGTCAATGTCATCTCATATAAGGTAAACAAACAAGTCTAGTGATATAAATAATCACAAAATAATTAATATGCAATTGTCATGCTCATCCAAATAATTATCAAGTTCAACAACAGTCAACAAATGTGGATACTTGTTGATAATAAAATAAACTCAATAACACTGTTTCATTAACGTACAGGCTTTAGATTCACTTCAGATAGATTTTTTGCACACGTTTCTAAATCCCATTCAAGATGAAAATTAAAAAAATAAAAGTGCGGTAAATCAAGAAATAATAAGAAAAAGAAATAAATTTACGAGTTTGTGTTTGCACAGCAGCTAGAAGAGTGACAATTGTTCAAGTTCCTAGCTATCTGACAACATTATAAATATTTTTTATCAACTTATCATTTTAATCGTGTTGTTAGTGAAAGATTGTGATGTTTTTAAACAATTAATGGATGTGAGAAATGAGAATTTAGTTCATTGAATAAAATTATTAAATAAACATTTAAATAATATTAAAATTCTACGGGTAAAAGCGATTACAATTTAAATCGTAAACCACAAACAAAACATTGAATTTCAAATTCACTGATGTGATAAAAATGTGAATTAAAAATGAATAAATTCATTTTTTTTGGGTAGCTCCATGAGTATAGAACTATAACCCTGAATAGCTTTCACATGAAGCAACAGTTCATCGTTATCAGTGAAAAGTTCTGATAATAACATTCTGAAAGGTAGTCTGATTAGTGTTATGAGCTAACTATGTACACAATTATTGTAATTTTTACAACATTTTCCAAATTTGTATGCTTAGATCTTCAATTTATGTTTACTTTGTTTACAATGAGTTATGAGAGGTGTTTACGCATAACCCTTTCAAAATATTTTTAGATGTTCTAAGCCTCTGATGGCCTTCACGTATATGACATCATTAATCATCTAAATCATTGAATTCTCTTTATTTCTGAATATCTTTGTTACAAGTAGTTTCATGACGGAATCGTCACGTAGAAAATTTTTGAATTAAATAGTTTCGACGACCTGTTGACCTAATTTTGTGATTTGTTGATGTAGAAGTTCACATAGAAAGATTTTCGAGCTCTTTTCGACTTTAAAACTATGAAAGTGTTTCAACAACGAACCATTTACGATCCGAGAAACTTCATCACATGTTTAAAGTTTATTTTTAAGTTTTTAAACGTCCCAAATCGTCGACTTAAAATAATCTTCGAAATCATTCAGACAAACACCCGCTGATAATTTGATTGGGGAAGAAACTGACTCGTGATTATCATTCGCATGTTCTCTTTTCAGAACATAAAATTCCGATTCAACAAAAATGAAAAAAGGAAAAAAAAATGCTTGAAATCTTTTTTACGAAAGTAAAATATGCAAATAATAAAGTCTCACTGGCGTTTTCGTGTGTGAAGTTATTTTTAGTAAAATAAATCCGAAAGTTTATTGACACTACTGTGTTTAAGATTCATTCTAGTTGTTATCTCTGTTAAGTCAGGCCTTTACATGATTTATCTTATCAAAAATTAGATTAAACTATCGTGAAGTTAATTAACACGACAATAAAGATTTCCATGTAGACGAATGACAAACACAAATATCTGTCGAGCTTCAATTGAATTATCTTTCAATTGTGTATTTACAGTTGAGCGTTCACAATCGTTTTGACCAGGGCTGGGACCTGGCTGGTTCAACAACATCAACAGCATACATTATTTAGTTTTATTAAATATAAAATATTCGCCATGCCGATGAAAGAACTTTTTCATCGTCTTCAACCTATACAAGTTTATGTTGTGCTTGTTTTGAGCATACTTTACTTCATGGTACAAATGTTCATCAGTCAAAAATCGCAATCAATTACGCTTCTCGTTCATGCCTATCACATGCTCTGCAACATAATTGCTTTGAGTGGCTGCATCATAACATTAAAGGTGAGACAAATCAGAATAATTTATTCCTAAATTTTAACGTTTGATTCTTATGAAATTGAAATGTCGTCGAATTTCTTGTTGCTATGTAAGAGTCGTATCGCTGTCGATGCTAAAAATAGTTTATATTATTTACCACCCACACCTAAGTTTACTTCATTTTCTTCGTAATATTTTCAAGAGGATTTTTTCGTTGTGATGGAAAATGATAAGTTTCAATATCAATATTTTCATTATTTTTGTGGTTTTTCAAAACGTTTCAGCAATCATTGTAATTTGCTAAACATTTTCATTAAATTACGAACAGAAATAGTAATTTAAGAAAAAAGCTTTATGAGTTGAACATTTGTTTTGATTACTTCAGCAATAATTTAATAATCGGTAGGAGAATTAAAAGTTATCCATGCTTTAATGTGATTTGCTGATTATCGCAATTATTTACACTTCGTTGACTTTTACCGTGAGTAACACTGCAAATGAGAGTTTCACGTGTTGACATATTTTACTCATGTCTAACATAAAACAAATTCAATCAAATGCAGATTAAATTTTATGATAACAGATACCTAACAAAATCATAATCCACGTGGTTTGCGCAAGATAAGAGAAAGTTTCCGTAGTTTTGTTGACGAAATTTAAAGTTAACAACCGGCGAAGTTTTATTTTATTATTTTATTTACACAATCAAATATGAATGAGTGGAATATTTTTTATATGTTAAAAATTCCAGACAAAAATTTACAGACTTGAGAATTAATATGAAGGTAGATGTTTTAGTGCCTAAGGTTCACAACCAGTTTGTTTTATTTTCTTTGTATATGTCACGAAACTTGTGAGAATATTTTCAGGTAAAAAACCAGAAGAATTCTAAAAGAGAAAGAAAGAACTGAAAATAATTTTTATCTTATCACTTTAATTTTTCAAAGTTTATGACTCTCTGCGGGATTCGAACCCAGCGATTTAAAATTGCTTACATTGCAACTTGAAATCTTTTGGACTTTGATCAAGTTTTATAAAGATTAAATGTAAGGAATCGAACCAATTTGCATTTAATTTTTGCTGCAAATTCAATTCTCATGTGTCAGTTTGTCAAAAAGTAAATTAAGCGTAAAATTTTAATGCAGATTCTTCCATTACACACCAATTTAAAAGTTTAAAGCGCTAATAAGAAACTTAAACATTTCTTTTTGTTATTTCTTTATTTAAAGAGCACCGACAAGGCTACAAAGCGTTTGTCACATTCATCAAGCGAGTCTTCAGCTGATTTCGAAAATCAACAGCAACAGCAGAAAGAAATAATTGAGACAAAGAAACAACAACATGAGAAAAGTTTGAAGAATACTTTTGGGTGGGCACGTGTTGATGTTTTAACTATGGTGATCGTTTGTACATTTCTCACATCACTTTGCTTCTCAATTGTTGTTGAAGTGATTCAAACGCTTTTTCACATTGAACACAAAGATCATATTGAACACGAGGATAAATTTCATAGCTACAGTTACGAGATTTGCGTTGTTGTTGGTGCGATTGGACTTGTTTTAAATGGCATCAGTTACCTGCTAATTGGCGGCTACACATATCATCAAGGAAGCTTTCTTCAATTATCTGAAGATGGAAATGTTTTCATCTTGGATCGTGTCGTTACTGATGGACGGAAAATTTCTGATTCAAAAGCAAAAATTGAACAGAAATCACAAAAGGTTCACGAGTTGTCACGAGATGTTTGTAGTAAGTTTTAAAATTAAATGAAAAATTTGATTAATTTGAATTGCTTCACGTATTTCTGAACAGGTGCTGTTATTGTTATCATTTGTTCAGTGATAATTGTGTTTTGTAAAGAGAAAGAATCAATATTTGCTCGATTGGTTGATCCAATTTTGTCGCTCGTGTCGATTGGAGTTCTTCTTGTATTGTCGTATCCTTACAGTAATTAAAAATACATTTTTAATCAATTTATAATTTAATTCATTAAACATTTTAAACAGTGAAAGAAGCTGCTTCCATTCTTCTTCAAACAATTCCCGATACAATTGACATTGAAGACTTTCAAAAGAATATTTTGGAGAAGTTTCCAGAGATTCAATCAATTCACGATCTTCACATTTGGCAATTAACGCAACAGAAATTTGTCTCGACAGCTCATTTTATCTTTCAAGATCCTTCAGTTTATAGACATATTATTGACAATATTCTCACGTTTTTCCATGAGCAAGGAATTAACATTGTGACAATTCAACCTGAATTTGTGTCTCTTGACGGCGAAGTTTCGACAAATGTCGATGAGATTAAACCATTAGTAGATGGAAATGCAAAAGATTTTTGTCTTGTTGCATGTCGTCAAACTACATGTGAAGAGAAAGTTTGTTGTAAGCGTCAAAGTTCAGATGATTCAGGTAAATCAAGTGATCCGAAATCAAAAAGCGATGTTCAACTCGAACAGATTATATCGGTGAGAAATATTAGCGCAGAAGAATTAAATACATTGAGTAACAGCAGTTCTGTGAAGTCATTAAACTTACCAGAGTCAGGAAATTCTTCTCAAGTCGAAATTAATGATAAAAGATCTTTCGCTTCACTTTATACCCCTTCAAAGACACGTCATGCTCATAAACTCCAAAAAGCTATCTCAGCCATTGACCAAGAACATCAACAGATCCCCACCACAAGTGAAAGTGACGGGATTCATCTCGTCAGTTTCAAGAAATTCGTCAGCGAGTCTATGATTAAAAGTAGCGAGCAAGACAATCTCAATAGTGACATCCTCGTAGAAAATCGTTTGCTAGAACAGTTGAACACAACTGACAACAATGAGACTGAGGATTTGCACGAGAAATGTGATAAAGAAACCTGAAGTGTCCGCAGTTAAACTCAACTCATTGGTCACTTCCTTTTCTCAAGCTGCCATAGGAAAATTTATGAAAATACTTTTGCATTTTATTTTGCATCAAATTTTAATATTTTTTAAACTTATTGAGAGTTATCATTGTAGAAATAAAGTTTTAAGTTTATTAAAATATGTTGACATGATTCAGAATTGTAGTTGATTTATTTATTTAAACTAATCAAATCTTCTTATGTCGTTTGAGAATGTTTGACTTGTCTGACTTGAAATTCAAAATTTCGAAGAGTTTTTCGTTCTTAACACAAAATTCTTAAACTTTTTTTTGTCACTTTCAAGCTGAGTAAACATTTTGGTCAACAAAACCATTTTTGTTAACGTAGAAGATTAAATATTTCTGAAAAATCTTCAATTCAACCCACAACAAAGTTTATAAAGACAAAAAACTTTATTTTATTTGGAAAAAGAATTTTTAATCTCAGGAGAAGTCTGAACTTTATAAAACGAACAAAAAGGAAAGAAGGAAATTGTTGAATGCAAATCTGTAGAGCGTAGTAATTAGAATAACAAACATCACCAGCTTAAAAACGATTCAGATATCGTAGTCTTCGTCAAGACCAGATGCAGGAGCTGTTGGCTTTGTCACTTGTTGATTAAAATTACTTAAATCGATTTTAATTGATGGACTCGTCGCAGGTAATGCAAACTTGCTGTAATCTATTTTAACTGCTGGTGATTCAATAGCGTTACTTGAACTGGAAGATCCATCGATGTTATACGATATTTGGATGGGAAAAGCCAAAGGAGATGGTAATTGTTTTTGTTGAGAAGACTGTTGTTCTGAGGTAATCGTGGCCGTTGCTGGTGATGAGTTGATACGCGCAATTTTAGGAGGTGGCGGTCGATGATCATTATTTGGTTTTTGGTTGATGATGCTCTGGTGATTTGTGTAATTATTTAAATAAAACTTTTGCTGTTGCAATTGATGGTATTGACTATGATTAGGAGCTGGTGTTGTAGGCTGATTAACAACTGTAGCAGAAGCTGTCGAAGGTTGAAGTGAAACGCTTCGATGAAGACTTATTCGGTGTGAACCATTCGGCTCCAACATACCATTGCCTATGAAGATATAAAAATTAGATGAGATTGAAAAATTAAATAACAATCTTACTAGATGGCACAAGAGTGTGATCGTCAGTTGACGTGCTCCCACTTCCATCTTCCATGGTGATGTCTGGCACAGATTTTACAAGATCTTTTAGGAAATCAAATCGTTGCTCAGACATTATACATTGCTGTAAACATAACATAAATTTTCAATTCAAAGTAATTTGAATAATTTTATTACCTTAAGATGGGATGGCGATAATGTTTTAGCATTTCTAGAGCTTGTAATGCTGCTCGATTTAGTCAATAAACTCTCCACAAACAATTCTAGCGTTCTTGAGATGATAACTGGTACAGCCTGTGCAATTTTCCCAACTTCTTCATCAGCTTGCATAATTCTTTTAATGCGACCCTACGGAAAAAGTTTAAAAATGTTAATAAATTGGAAAAAATTAATTATTATTGATGTTGCTTTTAATTTCACTTTCAAAATTTCTTTGTTTTCTTTATTTTCCCTGTGTTTGACAGCTTTCTGTTGTAATCATACTTACAGCTGGGAAACGAGCATTATATTTTCGTTTTTTTGATGGCATTTTGTTTATTATTTGTGTTTGATATCACTATCTATCATTAATTTTTGGATAGATTTATTTCATCGAATAAAGTTGAAGTGATCGAAAATAAGGGGTCTGCTTTGTTCCGCTTTCAACTTTGGTTCAACAGCTTTAAACCTTCTTACCCCTAGACAATTAACAAGAAATATCAAAAAGTTATTTTCTTATATAAAATCGTCTTAAGACGGTGATAACAAGTAAGTCTACTAAGTAATGCCGCTTGGTAACGTCGCAAAAGTTGCTATTGGTTGGTACGTGTTAAAAAACTGATATTTAATGTTTCGGATTGATTACAAAACATTTTTAAAAATTTATTTTCCTCGTGTTCTTTTAGGACTATTGGTGTTACGCTTGGTGTGTCTGGATTTGCTTATTCGAGAGTTTTAGTGGAAAGAAGCCGCTATGAGAGCATGAAAGTTCGTGAACGTATGCGAAAATCAAACGAAGGAGAATATCAACTTGCTGAAGAGAGAAAATTTGAACTATAAAGAATAGAAAGTTTAAGAAAATTTTAAGAAACATAAACAAACATAAAATAAATAATAAGTCCAGTTCATCATGGCACAACCACAAATGAGTCCAGCTGAACAAGCAAAATTACAAATGATGCAGGATCTCGAAATTGAGATGATGAGTGACCTTTATAACCGAATGACAACAGCTTGTCACAAGAAATGCATCCCACCAAAGTATGGTGACGCTGAACTTGGAAAGGGTGAAATGGTTTGCATTGATCGTTGTGTAGCAAAATATCTCGACATTCATGAGAGAATCGGTAAGAAACTCACTGCCATGAGTGCTGCTGATGAAGATTTAAAGAAGAAAATGTCGGGTGGTTAAGGTGCTTCTGGAAGATTAGCATTTAGTTTCCATTGCTTAGATTAGCGAACGAAAATTAATAAAGAATTATCAAAATAAAAGCAAAAAAAATATATTTCACTTTTTGCAGTTGCTTTCAATTTTAATTTCCTACCTAAAATTTCTCCGCTTGATTATTTCTGTTGCCGTACCTTAAAGATTATTTTGATTGAACCGGTTTATATACATTAACACAGCTAGATAACGCAGCAGGTAAAGAAAAAATGAAGCTGTAATTAAATACCGATATAAAACGAATTAATTTTAAATTACACATCACAGCTAAATTTCATTAACTCATTAGCTTAATTAATGCAGAAAGTTGACAGCTTTGTAAATAACAAAGCGTTTGCTTAATCATGTAGATGATTGTTTCACGATTAAAAATGTTAATTAATTGATTTTCAGACAAGAAAGTTTTGACGTGGAAAATTTTTATTCTGGAAAATTAGAAAATTGTTCAACATTCATTTAACTTTTTTCTAGTTTTATTAATCTCTTTATTATCATTTGCTAGCTTATTTTACTTTATAATTTTTCGTTTTCTAATTTTTTTCTCTTTCATATGCATGTTTTGATTTCATTCTCTTAAAATTTCTATTGTTACAATTTTTATTTTTATCTTGATAATATTATCGAAAATGTTTATATTTGTTCTTTAATTTAAAATACCGCTATTCATTCTGCATCTAAATACTTATAGAACATGATTAACGATCGTCACTATTGCCATTAGTTGAAGAAAATTCTCAGAAAGCAGAAAACAATTTTTTAACGAAGAAGCGACGAGAAAAATTACAAGCGAAGTTAGCGTAGAAGTTCAATGTTCAATGTTTAATGAAAAAGGCACAGTTGAATATATTTGTTGAAGATGAAAAATTAATGCTTTTGAGCAAACATTTTGATACTGTTTGTTTGAGAAAATATTTTTTGGCGTAAATATCTGAGATAAGTTGAATGCGTTTTGGCAATCACATCTGAATTGACGATAGCATGAAAATCATCTTTTCCTAAACTATTTCTGAGGACCTTTCTTTTACGGGGTTTTTAATCTTATTAACTATTTTCTATAGTTTTTATTTATTATAATTTCTAATTAAAAAAAACCTTTTCTCCCTAAGTATGGTCACCTACACAAAGAACTTGCACTAAATTTCTATTTGTTAATTTGGTTTTTATCTTTCGTTATGATTTTTTATGCTTACATTTTAAGATCCTTCAATTTAACAACAAACAATTCGTTTATCGTCAATAACTTCTCTCATGAGTGAGGCCATTCATCGGAAATTAAATGGAAATATTTATGCTTGAGCATTCTTTTGTTATAATAAGAGGAGAGGGTAAACATAGCGGAAAATATCACAGATAATGATTCTTCATTATTTTCTTTTGATTTGCAAGGAAATTTAATTAAGTGATTAGATTTAAGGATTGCTTTGCGACTAAAATACATTTAAATAAAAGGAACAATTAATCAACAAACAATTAATTAATAACAGCGATTGACTTTAAGAGGTTTGCATTACTTTGACAACCGATGGTTGCTACTTATTGCATTTCATAGAGTTTTAGGCTTTGAATCGATGTTTCTAAAATTTGAGCTTTTCTCAAAGATATCTAAGAATTTAAGCTTTCATCAGAGCTTTCAAAGCTCTCTAAGCTTCAAGAATCATTAAAACAGTTCAAATTGAAATTTTTGATTAGAAATTAAACTTAACTAGTTTTCTAAGTTTTCAAATTTCAGTAACATTGACAGACGTCTAAGATGCATTAATAATCGAGTGAAAGCATGCGGGACGCCATCAAGCTCCAATATGAACTTGAATGTTTCTTCTACTTTGAGAAAACTCAAAACTCAAAAACAATTAAATTAAAAACATCGAAACTTTCTAGACAGAGTAAAAAAGATATTTAATCCTTTTTCCTTAGATGAAAATTGACACGAAAAAGTTTCAAATTAAAATAAATTATTGTTAACTTTTCTTCATTAATTTCTCTTCAACTTTTCATTTTTTTATGTTTCTTAGTTGCAAATTGCGTTTTTCTTGGATGGCGTCCAAAATAGTTAAATTTTAACAATCTTGACTTATACACTGGCATAAATTATTCCACTTTAAGCCTCTGTTACCAGCTTAAAACTTTAATTATACACTAAACATTGAATTTTATTTCTCCATTTTCTCTTTTCTATTTAATTATAGTAATGTTCACTAAATATTTTTTTGGTTTTGTTCCTTCTGCGTTCAATAAATATTCAATTCATCAATTTTAAGACATGGAGAAAAGACAGTAATTAGGAGGAAAGACAGAAGAAGAAAGGCGCATTCTACAAGATTGTCGTTTGAATATCTTCGTCATAGATATTGCTAAAAGTGTAAACTTCATGATGATTCAATATATATGTTGATCCACTATAGTTATAAGGTTCACTAAGGTTCACATTATTTGCATCCAATTCATAACTTTACCTCATTTCATCTTATTTAATTTTTTAAACTTTATTATTTATTGCTTTAGCAGAAAATTCTTTATGTTCATTCGGTCCATATATTTGTAAAAATGAGTGTGAAAGAGTGGGTAGAAGAAGTGAAGGGTCTTTAAATTCCTTATTTTCTCTTGGGCATTCGTAAATTCTATAAATTTCATGAAATACAGTGGTAGGGAGTTTCCTCTGAAAGTAGAAAATTCGTAAAGTTTTTAATAAAATCTTTTAATATGATTGCATTTTGATGCAGAAAATATTTAAGCAGATATCTAAATGTCATCTTATATAAGAGATAAATACTTTATATGTAGTGTGAAAGCTCGTTTCGATTTAAATTTAATGAAATAAAATGAAATATGAAAGTAAAATTTTCTATAAGCTCGTGGAAAAGTTTCATGAGATGCGTTTGTGGAGATTGCAAATTGTTTCGTTAGCTTCGATTCCCCTCATTTAAAATATCTACCTAATTTCCAAACGTCCCCTTATGCTTCAAATTAAAAGCTCCTTTTGTCAGTACAATGATCTCCGAACATGACGCAGCTTATAAAATATTTCCATTAGATGAAAAAGAAAGCAAATTTGAATCAATCTAAATACAATTCTTATAAGCTTTGTTATCATAAAATCTACATTAACTTTCTTCATTTTGCATGAGTAAATATATGATTCATTTCTCTTATCTTTTCGATAATGTACAAACAAGCAGTTGAGCAAATCAAGAGTACAATGAATGAATAAATGTAAATGTACATTCGAGCAAATACAATAAATATTTTGGAGTAATAAGAGCCTTCAAAGCTTCACTGCGTAATTCCTTGATTTCTCGTCTCATAATTTATGACATGATGAAAATTAAAGCCAGTCAAAATATTTCTCATTTTTCTTTTGACAAAAGCTTCTTATAATCCAACTACAAAAAACGAAGCTTTATGAAAGCTTCAATTAATTTTAATTCATTTTTTATATCATTTGCTTCTTTTTGTTTATGATTGTATGTATCATTAAATGCTTTAATTGACAAAAAAAAAATTCTCATTCATTGCATTTGTCATTTGAAGCATTTGTAAATATAAGAATAAAATATCGAATTGCGTGGAGCTGCAAGCGACAAAGCTTTAATCACATTATGTGGTTCATAGTTTTCGACGTTCGGATATGACGCGAAGCAATTCACATGACTCTGATTTCTTTACAATGCCATCAGTTCCGTCGTCTACTGTAAGCATGTGCATGGCTGATTTTGTATGTGTTTCGGTGTCTTTTGCTTGTGCTACTGAAGCTGAACTTGATGATGATGACGATGATAAAATAATTGAAATCGGCGGGTCGTTAACACTTTTCGAACAATCTGTAATGTTCAAGCCCGAACCCGAAGGCAAATGAGTTTGCGGAACTGATGGTGCAGATGCTGTTGTGGATTGCGGTACATTCAGATTACCCGCACTCCCACCAGGCAACAATAACGAACTCTCATTCGTCGGCTCATCTTCATCAAGTGCGGCCTGTTTGAATAATTGCTTTGCGCTTCCCGAACGACTGCGTGGTGTCGCTTGCAGCTTCGGTACGGCTAAGAATGAAGATTTATTGCCTATGGAACTACTTGTATTGTTAATATTACTATTATTATAATCAAATGAATTTTTGCATGCACTTGAGCGATTATCAAAGTCCAAACTTGATTGACGATAATTAATTTTTCTTTTGGCGATGCCGCTTGTCGACTTCTTACTTATCATTAGATTATTGTTGATGGCACTGGTGCTTGCGGCTTCGCCATTTGATTGTCCTATTTTGATATTGCTTTGACTATCCATCTCAACTGAATCACTTGTCTCGAGAAGTTTCACATCAAAGCTCTGTGTACGAAATTTGTTGAGAATGTTCTTCCGATTAATTGGCTTCGATGGATTTCTAAGTGTCACATCAGCATCAAGATCATTTTCATTCGACTCACAAATTGTGCTTGATGGTGTCTGATTATAGTTGAATATTGACAATGGAGCGGGATTTGAACCAAGTAATGGATTGAAATATTGAACAGTTTGTCTTCGCGTTGGGTTGAATTTCTTTTCAACGACTGGCGTACTGTAAGTGAAGTTTGATGGCAATGACGAAACTTTCGTTAATGGACGTTTTTGTACTTTTGTTTGTTCTCTTTCCAGTTCTTTACAAAGCGCTTGTTCTTCTTCAAATAATTGTTCTCTTTCAATTTCTCGTTCCAACTCAGTCTCAATGTCCATGTCATCTTCCATCTGCTTGTGACTCTCTTCAAGATGTTTCATCAGCACAGCAACCACGACATTCACCAACACAAATTGTGCCATTAAGACGAAGATAACGAAAAATATTGGGGCGATAACTGGACTGACACAACAATTCTTCACACAATCTGCCGTGTCGTCACATTCATCACGAAGCGTGTCTTTCATGATGCCATTCCAATTGTCACCAGTTGCAACGCGAAAGAGTGTCAGAAAAGCCATACCGAAGTTTGCAAAGTGTGCATGTTCACCAAGCCCTTGACAGGGAATTTCATCGGAACACTCGAGTCGACCGAAAAGCTCAACACCGAGTGCAGCAAAGATGAAGAAAAGTAAGAAGAAAAGAAGCCCCAAGTTACCGACCTAGTTTCACATTAAAACAAAAAAGAATATTTGTAAATTTCCTTGAAAGCTTTTTCAAATATTTCAACATACTTGCGGCAATGCTTGCATGACAGTGTCGAGAAGAGCTCTAATCCCTCTGGCCATTTTCAAAAGTTTCAATACTCGTGCAATTCTTAAAACTCTCATTACACGAATAATTGTCGGATTAATGGGAATTATTTTTGTTTCTAACTCTTCCAGAACGATGCCAACAATCGACAAGATCACGATGAAAACGTCAAGTTGATTCCACTTGTCTTTCAAATAAAGTTTCACTCCAAGCGCAAGAAGCTTCATTAAAGCTTCAAGAATGAAGACAGCTGTGAAGAAATAATTGAAGATTTTCAAAGCATATTCGAGTGCCAATGGCATCATGTAATATTCCATAGCCATAGTGACAACGTTCAATCCAATGACAGCTGCAATCGCCAGATCAAAGTACTTTGACGTCACAACATTGTGGACAAACATGCGAAGTGGTGAATAATTTGTGTAGTAAGGTGGCTCGTGCATTCTTCGACGTTTCTTTTCTATTTGAATTGCTCGCTTTGCTGCTCTTCTTATCTTCTCTTCTTTCTCTTGTTCTTCACGACAACGATGAAAGTTCTCAACAACAACTCCAACAAACATGTTAAGAACAAAGAATCCAACAAGGAGAATGAATGCGATGAAGTAAAGTAACCGCCACTCGTTGTAGTTGACAATCGGCTGAATAAAAAGTTAAAAAATTAATTTTCTATTGAAATTTTTAATATAAAATGAAAAACTTACTTGCTGATCAACCCCAACAGCATCCAATCCCGTGTACATGATATTAACCCATCCATCACGTGATGAAAGAACAAAAAGCGACATCAAAGCTTTTCCCAAGTCATCGAAATTATATTTTCGATTAATCCAAACATTTCCGGGAATTGAAATGCAGTCGTCTTTGTTTTTAACGCCTTTGATATTTTCCCCTTCACAATAATAAAAAGTTCCTTTGAAGAGTTGAACGCCAAGAATTCCGAAGATGATGAAGAAAGTGCAACAAATCAAAACAATATTTCCGATAGGTCGAAGTGATGATAAAAGAGTTTGAACTACGAGCTTTAATCCTGGTGCTCGGTTAATGACACGTAAAGGTCTCAACGATCTGAGAAGACGAAAAACTCTTAAAATTCCAAATATTCGTGGACTAGAATCACTCAGCCATCCCATTAAGAGGTCAATTATTGATATAATGACGAGAGAACCGTCCATGATGTTCCAACCAGATGTGAAATACGCTTCATGACCATAAAACATTCCCGCTGCAACGACTTTAATTAACATCTCAATAGCAAAGACCACCGTAAAGACGTAATTTGCTGTCGCTAAGAAAGTTCTTTCATTACACTTTGGCGGAATGTTTGGTCGTTCCATTGCCAACGTTATGCAATTTAGAGCGATGAACAGGAGAATGACATTGTCGAACCATTTCTGGTCAACAAACCACTGACATAATTGACGGAACCTGTTGTTGTCAGGAAACAAATAAAGTGAAAATGATTCTCTTTCCTCGGTCCAACTATCAAAGTTCGATATTTCCTTAAGCCATTGTGTTAGTTTTGAGCCTTTTTTGAGCGGAAGTTCGGGAACTGATTGTTCCGGAATCGATGGAGAAACGTTATTGATGGATGAAATTGATTTCTCCAAATCAACTTTCATACTTCGCTGTAGAAAATCTTCAAAATTATTCATGTTTATGTTCGATTGTTTCTCGAATGTGTGCTCGAACGATGACATTCGTCGTTGAAAGTGTTGCTGATGAAAGTAATGAGGATGTTGAAGCGATGCGACATTGATTGAGTTCTTTCGATTCATGTTGTAGTATTGTTGATTGTTGATGTATTTATTCGATAAGAAATGCTGTTGTCGATGAACGGGAAGTTGATGACTGTCGCTTTTAATTGACGATGATCTACGAACATTAATGCGGGCACCTCTCGAGCTTTGAGTGTCATTCTTAATGCAATTCACTTTCGCAAGAAGCACGTCTTTATCAGATTGAATGGAAGATTTTCGAATGTCAAGAGATTCCTTCGTAGGTGGTTCATCACTTGTCGGCGACTGTTGAACTGCTGGCTTGCAATTATTTAAAATTTCATTTTGCTGTGATTCACTTTTTTTTCTTTTCGAGCTACCTCGACGAATCTTTAGGCTTGATTTTCTGGATGGCGCTGGAGATGCTGCTGTTACCATTATATCAATTTTGGTTTCCTGTTGTTCTTCATCGCCAGACTGTTCAACACAAGTTGGGAGAATATTTGCTGAGCCAGAAGGCGTAAGTTTCATAGACGACGTTTCACTGTTGTACGGACTCGTGCCAAGAACCGTCGGGCAACTGTGTCGTTCCGCTTTAGTCATAAAACCAGAACGCTCCAGGAAAATTCTTTCATCGAGAGCTTTCAACGAACCAAACACTGATGGTGGCGTTAAATGGATTTTTGGTGGTTCCTATGGTAAATAAAAAGTTAAATAAATTCACTCAAAATATTCTTAAAGCTTTTCGTTTTTGAGAATTTAAGATTCATAAGAAAGCAATAAAAAAAAGGTTTTCAACAAAGCTTTTAAAATCTTAAAGATTTCATAAATTCCTTCGCTTGTTCATAAAAAGTCAATTTCATGCTAAACCTTACTGTAACTTCCAACTGATCCATGTCAATTTTTTCCCAATCTTTCAAGCTCGCTCCAACTTCCATTGTGTTGCTTGGTGAATCTTGTGGTGTTGCTGCTGTTGTTGTGATGATTGGTGGTTCAGGCATTCGCTTCTCAACAACTCTATTCTTGTCACGTACACTGTGATGCCTTCTTTTGTGGCTTCCTGTACGCTGCTGAATTTCTTTTTCTTGGTTTGACTTCGTGAGATATGTTGAAGTTTGTACATCCGAAGCTTCCGTTTCGCCTTGAAGAAGTTTTTGCTTTTGAATATTACATTTCACATCGAAATTGTTGAGCTTCCGGAGCTCTTCGGCACTAAACCATCGATTTCTTAACTCATTGTAACTCTCTGATGTCGTTGAATCGGAGAAACTTTTTAAATCGTCAGCTGGAAACATTTCATTGAATTGTTCTTGCATTTGAAGCTGCATTTGAAGTTGTTGCTGTTCAGCATTTAGCTTGGCTTTAATCATTTCCCTCTGTTCTCTTTCACGACGTTCATGACGTTCCGAACTGAATCCTTCGACGAGAATGGCAACGAGAAGATTGAACAAAACATAATTGCCGAAAGTCATTAACGTGACGAAATACAAAGCAGCCCAATGACTTGTCTTCTCCATTCCATTGAAAAGCACTACGTTCCAGTCTTCCTGAGTTAGGATCTGTTATTGATGATGATGACAGAATGATTAGAATTCAAATCATAAAGAAAGATAATTTTTCTAGCAATTCTTTAACCAAATTTTTAGTATTTTTAACGTTTGTCAGCAAAAAAAATGTTCACAATTAAAGAAAAGTGGAAAAAGTTGGCCGTCTTTAGGCAAACATTTTCATTCTTTATATTAGAAAATGAAGCGAAAAAATGTTAATCATTTAACTGTTTCAAGACATAAAAAGAAACTTTGGAAACTAAATAAGAGACAAAGGGAAAAAAAACTAAACTCGTACTAAAGCTCATCATGTGGTGCGCATAAAAAGTAATTAACTCAATGTTATCATTCTCGCATTAAGATAATTTTATTTTCCATTCAAATTAAAATGAAAGCAGCAACAGCAGCAAGAAACTCTTCATAAAATGATTTTAAAATTAATCAGCGTGGGTGCAATGAATTGTTTTTATATAAAGACGGGAAAAAAGCGAGAACAGTTTTATTGGATGTTTTGAGGACGGAAACAAATCAAATTAAAAAAATGAAAGCATTTAAAATAAATTTAAATGAAGCAACTTACACCTAACGAAAAACTTTTTCAGATTTAAAAAATTTTTGAAAGATTTTCTTTTTATTATTCTTTGCAGAACTTTTAACTCTTTTTCTTAAATCAAATCAATGTAAATTTAAAGTGAAAAAGCTTTGCAATGAAAGTGAAGCTAAAATAATTTCAGAAAATTGTTCAAAGTTTTTTTTAGTCGCTTCAAGCGAAAGAAAAGTCTTCAAAGAATCTTAAAAGTTTTTCGGGAAAATTTATTTCTTAAAGGTTTTAGTCACGATTAAATATTCAAAGCGATAATTCGAATAGTTCATTAAACTTATAATTCAACACGGTTTTTTAAATTATTATAAAAATTTTAGATGATGATTGAATATTAAGCAATCTTTCCAAGAAAGTGTTTGAAGCAGTTGAAAGGATAATAAATCAAATATTCATTTGATTAAAGCATTTCTCACTCAACGGGATATCGAATTAATTAACTTAATTCAAAGCCATGCAGTGGGAAAATATTTCAGGAAAAAAATGTTCTTATTAATTAAAGTTTATGTTTGTTAGTTTTGTGTGTTCTTCTTCCTTAAAAATATTAAGTTCATCTAAATATCTATTAAAGTAAATAAAAATAATGTTTATAAAAACACAAAAAAGCTTTTTGTTGTGGCTCTTTAATACTTAAAGAAGATCACAGTTAATCCTATTTGCAATGCAATTGTCTTGAAGACTTTTCAAATAAGAAAAACTAAGAAAAGAAAGTCGTTCAAAAACAAAGCTTTTATCTTTAGAAACAAATAAAGGAAAAGAAAATAAATATCCACTCGAATTGAGAAGGTCTCAGAATCGAGAGAATAATGAAAATTTGCAAGGGAAAAGTGAAAAAGTTGTGTTTTGACTGGGTAGGAAAACAATTGTCGTGTATTTTAAACGAACCTAAAACAATAACACTTAATTCTCATTCTTTTCATGTTTAGCTTGGAAACCTAAGGTCTCACGACTTATTTTAATTATACATAAGGAAATAAGAAATTGATGACGGCTTTTTTCTCTGTTTCCGACTCAAATAATCTTTGTTTAGTCGTTAATGGGTAGAAGTGAAAGGAGAAAAATGAACTTCTTGAAGAGTAAACCAGCTCAGAATTTTAATTTTTATTTCAAAGTAACAGAAAAATAATTCTTGAGCCTTTCTATTTTATGAAAAATTGATGCAGAAGATTATTCTTATAAAACTCGTCCATCCTTAATGAACTTCATTTAAAAAATATTTTTTTGTTTATTACGAGTGGAAACATCTTTCAGGCTTTGAATGAACTCTTGTCATAAGAGTATTTACACATGATGGAGCGGGGAAATTTTGCGGGGACAAACAAACTAAACTTACTTGAAAGACTGTCACGGTCGCCCATAAAAAGTTGTTGAAATGTTTGCGATCGCATTCGCAGAGCGGATGTTTTGCAATGATTTCAGGACAGGTACATTCTCTTTCGCCCAATTCTTCATCCATAAACTTACAGAACTTACCACCAAATAAGTACATGCCCAGTATGCTACAATTTTTGAGTATAATATTGGATAATGGATTTTATGTTTGTCAATTTCTTTTGCATGTTGTCTTCTAAGTAGATAAGTACTTAACATAATTTGAAACAATAAATCAATTTTACAAAGAAAGTAATCAAATGATTATTTTGTTAAATTATAATGATTTGATTAATGAATCTAAACAGAATTCCGAAGGAAAATAGTAAAATTGATGGATGATTAATTGGATGATGGCAATCATACAAAAGGTGAGTTCATCACTTGAATAAAACGCTAATGACGATCGTTATAGCAAAGAAATTATGCACGTCATGAAAATTATTTTAGTTTGAAATGAATTGATGGCGACATTGGTATCGTTTTATGTAAATTATGTTGAGTACGACGAAAGTGAAAATATGTAAATATAAGTTGAGATATAAAACGAAATGTTTTGATGATTGCTGAATTAAATAAATTTCTATTAATGTTTAATATCGTAAAAGTAATATTTTATATCAAAATACAAAATGTTGGTATTAATTGGTGTATTAATTGGAAGGTTTTGGTTTATAATATCATTTGCTTTTTTAATAAATTTAGTTTAGGTTTTATTTAGAATCATATCATTATTTGATCGTGTTTAATGTTTACATGTATGTTGCATGTAAATATTTATGTAGGATTTCTTCCATTGTTTATTGCATAAGCATACAAACTGATGCAGAAACATGAAAATATTTATGAATAATCTAAGAACGAACAGACAGGATGTCAGAGAATCAACATGCAATGCATCATGGAGAGTAATAAGAATAAATAAGTAATTAAAAATATTTTTTTCAAGCAATTTGCTTATTACGAGAGTTTTGTGAACGTTTTCGTTTCGAATTAAATTTTGCAGGCGATTTTCTTTCTGTTTTTTTAATGTATGGTAACAAATCCGTTTTTAATTATTTAGTGTATGTTTTGTTTATTCTCTTTATTTACGAATGCAAGCAATTTCATCATGCTTCATGCAAAGAAACAATTTTATTGTCACGTCATGAAAATGTTTTCAAATCAAGAACTTTGTGAATATTTTTTAATTTTAAAATCATGCAAGATAATTAAAACGTTTATCTATGAATAGTTTTAATGCAAAAGCTTTTGTCATTGAACTTTCATTAAGATTGATAACTTTTGATAACACAACAAATATCGAAAGTCACTTAAAACATTTTCATTGTAAATTGTCAATTAGAAGTGAAAGTGAAAAGCGGAATAAATTCGTCGCAATGAATGAGTTTGACAAAAGCTTTTACTAAGTTATGGCATTGAATATAAATTCTTTTAAATTTCCTTTTTCAATCAAACAACATCATAAACATTCATGCACGATTCAGAGGGAGGAAAGCAAATCACAGGCAAGGACTTAAAATTCATCTGAGGGGGGTTTGGAATGCTTGGAATAAAATTTATTCTATTAAAAAATATTAAATTTCTGAGAGTTATTCTTAGGAAAGCGACATCGATTAAAACTTCACTTTCAAGTGAAAACATGAAAAATATTTTAAAAAATTTAAAAGCTCGTGAAGTGTCAGTGAAAGTTGAGAGTATTTAGTGTGGAAAGTTGTTGTTCAAGGACGAGAGTTCAGAAAATGAGAAAGTGGATAGTGAGGTGATTGTAGCATTCACTGGAGGGTTCAGAGAATCGTTTGAAGATGAAGATATTCGATGCTTAATAGAAGAGATTTTGTTTCTTTTCAATTCAAAAAATTATCAGATAATTTTATTCGATCTTTACAGCTTCTTGAAAGCACCATAAATCTTAAGAAACTGTGGAATGGAATAGAAAGAAGCGACTTACCTTTTTCGAGAGATTTTAAACAGCAAACGTACATATTCAAAAGCAGCAAAGATTTTGGTTGCTTACATCATGCTTTTAAATATGTAAAGTTAAAGTTATTCACATCTGACATGCTGACTTTATTTATAACGAATTACGAATAATTGATACACAAATTCAATTTAGTTGCAGTTCTTTTAAAAAGAAAATTCATCTCCGTAATTTCGAATGCATGAAAATACTACAAATACATGACGCTAGTCACTAATTAATGCAAAAGCTTCATTCAACAACAAAATCTCGTAGATAAAGTTTGTTGAAGTCATCTATTAGGTTTCGTTAGGTACTAATAGAAAGAAGTCTACTACGAAAAGTTGCAGAGTTTTAATTATTTAGTATTTGTTGATAAAAGATATAAAGTCACACATTAGAGAAAAAGGCGAAATAAGACTACAGGAAATCATGTCATGTTTTTCTTGTTTTTTTTTTTAATTTAATTTTCTTATTTGGAAAATTATCTAACCTGGAACACGGTGACTAAACTCCATAATAACGTATCGAAATTCTTACGATCGCACACTCTTTCGTCATTTATTTCTTCGCAGAATTTACACCCAAATAGGTTCATGCCAAGAATACTAAATATTGATTAAATGTTTTATTTGATTAATTAAGGGGGAAGATAAAAAAAATTCAAAAAATAATGTTCAGAAGACAAAAGTCTTGAGAAGTGAGTGATGAAGTGAAAGATTGAAAGTTATGTGTTTATGTTGATTTCATTTAAGAAGATATAAGAAAGTGAAACTCTTTGTAATTATTAATTGAGCCTTCTTGTTTCCTTCTTTTCTCTTTTCCATTCATTACACTTTGTAAATCTATTTGTATGAGGATCACGAACATAATAGACGAGCAACTGATAAACTAATAATCTTTCCCTAATGAGAAGCATGAATGAAAACCTCATTTGATAGACATTTTCTTTTGATATTTTTAATAATATTGTGGTGAACAAGAAACTTCCTTCGTCCATTAATAATGTTGATGTATTTGAACTGTTAGGTTCTCATTTGTTATTCTGTAATATAATCATCATCCCAATGATTCATCTGATGTGTCGGTAACATCAAAATTCAAACGTTGTAAATGAACAAGACCCTAAAATGCCTCAAAAATAAATAAAAACTTTTTTCTGCGGCTTCACTTTTTTTTCCTTCTGACCTATGAAAAAAAAAATTCCAAGCCAACAATACAAAATGATTCCGTCAAATAATTTCAACTTTGTGATGGAAAATTCCTCTGAAAACTTTACGAAGAAAAGTTTATTTTTTCATGTGTGTTTGCAACCAACAAACTTTTTTCCCGACAAAAGCTTTCTGGCTGCCACTAATGAGAAAGATGTAAACGTTCTCGTGAACTTTCTTCTGTTCTGTGATGTTTTCAACACTTGCGGGTTCTCATTCCTCATGGAATGACTTTAAAATTTAAAGCTTGAATACATGAATAAATGTGCAAGTGACTTTGGTAACTTTTCTTGTATCTTAAACATTGGAAGTGAATAAGCAGAATAAGAACAAGAAGAAGTGAAAGCGTGATAAATATTTGCAGTGAATTTATAACACTTATTGTGCTACCTTATGTTCGTTTAACGAATGCATGATGGTATTTAATGATAAAGTGAAAATTATGCACGTAGAAATTTTTATTCTCCTGCAGGATATGAAAATATATGCGAGGAATGCCTTTAACGAATGCATTTCCTTTTATCCTAGCGTTTTTATACCTCAGCCTTAAATATTTAAGTCGCATTAAAAGAGAAAGAGAGAATCTAATAAAAAGCTCTGTTGTAAATTTGTGGAGATGAAGCACATAAAGTTTCATTCGCACAACGCCAAAGACATTTCTTGATTTCCGTCAAGCTTTTATACATCACGTTCGTGTGTTTACTAAATTCTCATGAGTCTCGTAACGCGAGCCGTAATTTCATCAAATAACAAAAAAACTTTTTTCTTGTGATTTATAAGAATCTTTGGCTTTCGTCAGTGACGATGAAGTGAATTTATGTTATCGTAATTTGTATCAAAAAAAATGAGAGACTCAATGCGGGTAAAGTTGAGGTGAAAGTTTCTTAATTTATGCTTGATCATTCATGGTTCAAGTTCAATCTTTCTCAAGGATTTATTATAGAGAATGTGAATTAATCGAAGCACTGTTGTTACAATAGAATAATAGATTTTATCAATCATCTCAATCCGATCAAGTTCACAGATTGTGGCAATCAAATCATTTTTATCTTGAGAAATTCTTTCATATATTACACCTAAGCTCTATAATTTTCCCAAGGCAACGATGGAAATATTGATTTTCCTCTTGGATTTCTACTTCTTTGTGATTTCCTTTTGGAACCGCTTTTTATCTCTTGATTTTCTCCACATCAGAGGCTTTAAGTTTCCTTTTTTCCATCTTTTGTTTTCTCGAAGAAATCTTTTTTATGCTCAGTGTTCACTCAAAAGCAGTAAAGTTTTGAGAATATTGAAAGAAGTTCTTATGATGATGTATGGAAATGTGAAATTTGAAATAAGAGGTTAAGTCGAATAAGAGAAAGTGAAAGAAGATGAAGAAAAACTAATGGAATGATGATGATAATCAGGAAAAGGTCAAGTATTTAAATGATTTGATAGATGAAAATTCATAAATCATGATAAAGAGTGAAAGTTTTACAAACATGATGAATGGTAAATGATTAATGTTTTTCTGAAAGTTTTTCTCATATTTTTAGCTTAATTTTCTTTTAAGATTTTTCATTATTTAATCGCCTTCCGGAATTAATAACCAATTATGAAGGAGAAACCTTTTCTATTTTCCAAATGAATCCAAATGAATGTTTTCTCTTCGATGATCCATCAGAATAAATAAATTTTCATTCTTTCTTTCTTTTTGATTCATTTCAACGAGACTGATGATTGTAAATATTTTAATTTCTTCTTGTCGACAAACAAACAAATTATCTTAACTAAAATATTTCATTAAATGTTTCCATGGATGAAGAGAAAAAAGAAAATTTCAATGAGTTTTGAAAGTTTTGATAACAAAAGGAAAAAAGAAAAAATGATGATCCACACATTCACACAAAGATGTTTATAAAATTATTTAACTCACCTAAATATGAAAATGAACAAAATCAATAATGAAAAGAATATCGCGACGTTATCCATCGTCCGTAACATGACGAACAATTGCCTCCGGAGATTGGGCATGAATCGAACTAATTTAAGAATTCTCAGTAATCGAAATGTCCTCAAAACAGACAAGCCCGAATTGCCGCTGGCTCCCTCGCCACCCATAAACGCCTGGCATAATTCAACAGCACTGAAATTAGGTAGTAAATTGAAAGAAGAAGGAAACGAAACGTTTGTGTTAATATAATTTGCTTCATGTCTGACTCATCGTCATCGATATCATTTTAAGCGGCGCCAGTCAGATGTCTAACATGCAGGAGAGAAACTACAAAAGATTTTCTTTCTTTTTTCTTTATTTCTTTCCTTCATGTTACACATTTCAACGGCAGCAACATGACGAAGATAAAAGAAATTTAATTCTCATGCATGTTACGTTAGTTTCATTTCAACAAACGTCGTTTCCATTTAATGAAACTTTTACTACAATTTCTAACTGAATTTGATGCAATTCAAGTGAGAATTCATTGAATATGCTTTCGGTAGTAGACGGTAGCAGTTTTATTATGTGGTATCAGCAAGTTTTAAAAAATTTCCACCACAACTGCAAGCATGTTTGAGAAAGCATGATTCAAATACGAATTCTTTTTCAATGCTTTCGAGATTCTCGATGGTTAATGTTTAACTGACCTCAGAATCACGATTATTCCATCGAACACGTTGAATCCATTAGCAATGTACTTGAATGGTCCTTCAGCAATTATCTTCAATAACATCTCAACTGCAAATATGGCTGAGAACACAATATTACTTGTCTCCACAATGGCAGTTAACTCTTCCGGTTGATTATGATACTCGATGCCCATCGAAAGTGTGTTGATTAAAATCGCCAACAGAATTCCCTGTTGGAAATATTTGTGGTCGACCAATCGCTTGATATATTTACGAATGAAGTGAAATATTTTCGAAACAACTTTGTAACAAGTTATTGTGCTGTTGTACAAACGAGATCGTTTCTTTTCAATTTCTTCATTCGATAAATGCAATTGTTGTTGATGATATTCTTGTGCAGCGTAGTCAAAGTTTTGCTGATAAAGCTCGTAACAACACGAGTAGTCTTCGATTTGGTTAAATTCGTTATTGTTATTATTATTGCTACAGTTATTATTGTTGTTTCTTGTTAATGACGAGTAGAATGAATCGAGAGTTGTCTGCCCTGTTGGTAGAGCTGCTGAGAATGCAACTGAGAGTGCCAACAATTCTTGACAAGTCATTGCTTCGGTTAGATTCAGATCAGCAAATTCATTGAGATTATTTGTGACGGAGTTGATGCTGTTGTTGAGTGGCAAATTGACCTGAGAAGATACAAACGCAGCAAGAGAGATTATGCGAGAGATTATAATAAATGGTCTCAAGCTGTTGTCGTGACAAAAAGTTGTAACATTTCCCCATATGTCATATCCACAGAAACTCTCATAACTCTTATTGCGTATCAAATATAAGCAAAATTGGTAGAAGGAGCGGAGAATGTTTTAAGAGCTTTTTGAAAGCTTTTGATAAGCTCAATTAATTTCACTTGCTCTGCACGTTTACAACTTTCAGCCCACAACCATTCGCTAAATTGATCTGGAAATAAATAATTCTACTCACTTGCCAAATTCCTTCGCCCGTCTGTGTCATTTTCTCAACTGACAAAGCATTTTTGTCGTTCTGCGGTTCGGGAATTGTTGGCGGTGTGTGTAAAATAACAAATTCATTGAACATCACAGACGAGCCACGTCTTCTTGTTGATGTCGGTGGACTCAACAAACTGGAACTGGCTGAGTTCTGTATCATAAGTATTATAAATATAATAAAAAAAGATGAAAAATAATGCTTTTGCATGGAATGATAAACAAATCAGAAAATTTAATTTGTTATATGATATGCTTAGACAGCTTCTGATGATGATGATATTTTCTCGATTTTTACATAGCAGATATACTTCTTAATGTATACGACATGACATGGGAAGTCAAATAAAGAATAAAAAGAAGGAAGAAAAAAAGAGAGAAAAGTTCTCCGGAAGAATCAAGAGGGTGGAAAAAAGGCAGCATTCAAAGAATAATGAGATAGGAAGAAAGAAAGAGGAGAAACTCACGTTCACATAATCGTTGTCAGCCACAGAAGCAACAGCTGAAGCGGCCGCTATGGAATTGTTAGCTATTTTAAGTAATAACATTTTTTGTTTCTCGTCCATTGTTGCACTTAATGTGTTGTTTAATGACTGGATCTCTGAATTATCGAGAGAGATATTGTCGTGGTTGTTGGTACCATTATTCAAAGGTGCTGATTGTATTGTATTGATTTGGTTGTTTGATTGTTTAACTTGTTCTTGAAGGTTCGTCAGTTTACTGCCGGATCCTCTGCTTGCGTTACAATGATTGTTAAGCATTTTTGGGCACTTCGGATGATGACAGCGAATCTTTTGTGGTGAAAAGAGGTTGTCAGGTGTACGAGGCAAAAGGCCATCTTTTCTCTGTTGATACTGATACCTTTATCAAGTCAAAAAAGATTAAAATATTATTACAAATGTTGAACAATGAGAATAAATGAGAATTAAGAATTTCTTGTTACGATGCACTGTTGAAAACGTTGAACATGAACATAAAAATCAAGCTAGCATAAAATTAAAGCTTCCATCAACAACATTCTCTTATCATATCAAAAATTTACTTTATTCGTCATCTAATGATCTTAACCATAAGATGTTTATTGATGTACATGAAAAAGTAATCTTGAAAATGATTAAAAATAAATACTTGGGATGCTTAAAATTCTCTCACACAAATAATTTACTTAAAATATGAACATGATTCGAGAATGCTTTTCAGTTCAATATTCAATTACAATTTCATTAATTTTTCAACAGTGCAGAAGTTTAAGGTTTCAAATTATTAATTATTGAAAGAGGAAAATTTTTAGAAGTCATTAAAACGTTATCATGCTTTTAAAGCCGAGCGTATCAACAAAGGTTTTAATGAATTTTAACGTTGTGTGATGTTGAAGATGTTATCGAGGAAATGTAAACATTTCTCTTTTGCCATTGAGTTCAGAAACGGCATAATGAATTTCCTTATTTTCTTTTTGAAAAATAAAAATAGAACTTGAGAGCGAAAAGGAAAAGAAAGAGAAAAATGAACGCTTGAGAAGAAGAGGAAAATAATTTGGAAATTTTTGACGATTTCACGAAAATGTAACAGCAGGGAAGAAATGACAGCATGAGGTTATAAAGCAGAAGTTCTTCTTTTGACATGTCATAATACATATTTGAATATGTACGATCAACATTTTGATGAAGCTCAATGAATAATTTAAGGAAGCGAATCCCGAAAAGATTAAACTTTTGTGTTTGTTTTTTATTTATGTTCACGGCAAACTTTTGGTGCGTATTTGTAAACAAACAACAAAAGTACAAATTACGCGTTATTGTATCTAAGTACTTTATAATTGAGCCACAAACAAATTAAAAAGAATTTTTGATCAAGAATCTTGAATTAAATAGTTAAACTTTAAAGATAAATATCTAAGGAAAACAACGTTTCATGGAATTTCGTTTTTCATTTCCCCGCTTTGTTTGTTTCAACGTTCAATTGGAATGGAAACTAATTAAACAAAGTGAATTAACTGTTGCGGAAATTTTTAACGATCTTTAAAACAAAAGTAAAGGAACTAAGGTAAATTTTATCTGTACAGGCAGAAAATCAAAAGCGAACGATTTAAAAGAAGATTGAAAAGGTGAATGAGCATCATTTCAGAGTGATGTGAGCATTAATGATTCCATTTATTCATTTAAACTTACAAAATGTTGGTATAAAGCTCGGAAAACTCTTTAAATCTTTATATCAAAACTTAATCCTCATTTTAATCTTAATCTTAATCCAATCAATTTCACCATATTATGCGCATCGCATTATCCGATGAAAATTGCAAATTTGATGAGAAATTTAAAAGACATTCAACTCAAACATCGTCGTAAAACTTTCATTCGAGCTTTTTCATGAACGAGATAGTTTATGTCTAAACATTTTATCGATTTTTGTCATCATCACTCAAAATTTCAACTCATGTTGACAAACAGCACAGAATAAAATATTAAGATTAAACGTGAATAGAAATCTGCGAGAAAAAATCTGGTCAATGATTTTTCTCATTAGATAACAAAATCATTTGTGTATCAATTTTAGCAATACTAAGCGGTAAGAAAAATAATCAAAATAGCAAAGTTTATAGCAGGATATTCAATGAGAAAAGGAAATAAAAGTTCATGCAATTTACACGTTAAAGCTTTTTTGCTTCTTTCTACAAAATACTTTTTTTCTGTTCCAAATTCATCTTTCATGTAGAAAATAATAATTTCAAATAGGAATCTGTCTGAATAGATTAAATAACGAGTTTAAGCTAAGTTTCTTTTTTTTTTGTACGAATCTACTTCTAACTTCAGATCTAAATTGAATAAAAGAAAAGTTTAATTCTCTTGTGGTTTTTCGTGTGCGTTTTTTTCCTTGGATTCTTTGTAGGTTGTTGAGTTTTCACGGATAAGGAGAGAGAAATTAAGGGAAAAAATAATTTAATGAAAGTTTTCATTAAAACTTTGAAAGCTCTTCTGGAATCGAACTTAAACTTGAAGCTATTAAAACCTTTTTTTTGTTTTGTTTTATGATTGAAATCAAAGAATAAAAGTGAATTTAAAAGTAATTAAAACTATTCAATTAAAATTGCAATTAACGTTTTATTCGTCAATTAAGTTAATTTAAAATGAGACGATGAACTTTCAAAGTTTTTCGTGAAAACTCCCTGGAAAATAATTTATAATTTCGCAATATTAAAAGTGCAATCAAATTCATAGCAACAACGCAACCAGTTATAGAATGCATACTTATACAATCGTAACTTCTTAATCAAACGACGCTTGAGACGACGGTAAAGATGTCCAATATATTTCACAATTTCTGCGTAGCATGTTGTCGGTTCCGAATTGTTTGTGCTTGACGCTAATGTTGATGATGAAGTAAAGCGAGCTCTCTCCTGTCTCATTCTTTCCATTTCACGCTTTTTGGTTTCACTAAATTGAGTGGCAATGACGACCAAGCACAAATTGATCATAAAAAACGAGCCAATCTAAGAAAGAGAGAAGAAGAAAAGGTTAAAATCATCAAATAAACTCTTCTGGGTTTCGTTGCTTAATTAAGTGTTGATTCTTTTTTTCGTTCAACAATGCTGACTTGAATTTTTAAGGGTAGACTTTCTTGAAGATATCCCGATCCCGAAGCTTAACTCTTAATGTGAAAATCAATTAGAAATCATTCTCAAGTTCCTCCAAACCTCTTGAAAGCACTGAATCCACACTTGAATCTTCCCCCAAAAATATTTTCATCATCAATTTCATCAGTCAAATCCAAGTAAAACCTTTTTTAATAGATTTACACTCTGAGCTCAAGTCACCAAGGGAAAAGAATCGTTTTCGTTTTCACTGCTTTTAAGCAACACAATCAGATAATGTTTACGATTTTTGTTATGTGAGAAAATCGTCTGCGACAAAGCTCAGTGAATAAAAAAGAAAATGAAAAGGAAAAGTCAAACTGCTGAATGGAATGTTTTCAACGCCAACACACTCAATTTTCTTAAAAATAAATCAATTTTATGGTCCAAGATTGCTTTCTGAGTACCAAATCATTTCTAAGCACTCATGCTAAGGTGATGGCAAGTCAAATAAATAGCGCTTAAGTGAATATCAAATATTCGAGTGCTCAGACATATATTTGTTTTAAATCTCATCATATTTTCTTTCTTCCAACATCATCTCAGTAGGAATTCCGAAAAAAAAAGAATTCATAAACTCATTTTGATTAACCGATAGCATGCGGTGAGTGTTTCAACATTATCGATAATTTACTTTTCATAAACTCGAAGAAATTAAGAACCTTCATTATTTAGATTTAGATAATTGATAATTGAATGTTTCCTTTCACTAAATACTCGATGGGAAAAGGAAAGAAAATTATTTAATGAGATGTTTTGTGTTGAGAGAAATCCATAATTACAAGTTATAACCTTTCATAGTTTTTATTTTTATCGTCTGCAAATTGCGTAATCATGTTTTTCAGGCATCATTGAGCTTTTAGAAGATTATCTCGAATTTAGAAGAACGATTTATGTATCAAATTACATGATTGAAATTATGGGTGTTGATGAGGGTGGTGGTTATAAATCTATAAACTTCTTTGATACTCACCACTATTAACAAAACGAAATAAATCCAATCCCAAAAGCTGTGAGCATCCTGAACGTAATACATTATGTCCGTCCAACCCTCCAGTGATATGACCTACGTAAATATGTAGTTTATTAAGATTTATATTTCAATTTAACTGACAGAGCGGGAAAGAGAGAAAGTTTTTGGTTCTTCTTCACTTTTTATTTGGTTTTAGATTATCAAGCGTTTACTATAATGATGGTAATAATTACAAGAAATATTGCCACCCACGCCAAGCCTATGTTATCGAAAGATATTGTTCCCTGGAATGGGTTGCCGCCAAGTTGTGTGCAGTTCGTGTAATATTGATTCCAGTTTACACACGAATTCTCTGTTGGCGTATTCATACTGTATGGGACAGCAGATTCTGAAAATTGTAAGAAAAAGAAAGAAACAAGGAGAGAAAAAATATTTTAATGTCACTTTCGGATGATTAAGTAATTTCTCGGCTTCTCACAACAGGACGACAACGAAACTTTTTGTCGACTTCTAAGTTGTAACATAGAAAAGGAAGAAAAAAATATTGGAAAGAAGTCACCGGAAAAAAAGGATGTTCGTTGAAGCGTTGGCAAAATTTACAACATGATTTATCGTATCAATCGTGTAATGTGTAAAATCTGGCATGAAATTGTGTATGAAAGCGTCACGTTATTCACGAATTTTGACGTGTAACGCCATGAAAAGGTTTAAAATTTACGACATTACCTTTTACGATCGCCTTGTGACATCAACAACATTTTTGGGAACCTTTCAATTCAATAACTTCGTAATAAAGTTCCAAACTGAACCGATGGGGTTTAAAATGTGTTTAAAAATTATGCAGAAAAAAATATTCTCATTAGTGCAATTTATGTATCAATTTCGCGAACAAGTCAGAAGAAGAAAAAGAAATTTGTTCAAGTCAGATTATCTGACAAATAGAAGAAATAATTCATGAAGTTTACGAGGATTTATGATGCTTGAATTTTTCCTTTTCGATTTCTATAAGGCGATGATTGTCAATGTGTTCAAATCAATGCACGGATGATTAGATTGACGAATCGATACAAAAAAATCTGGAAAAGCTGGCGAGAATATATTGCAAATTGTAGGCTATCGTTGAGATTGAGTTGACGAGAATTCCCTAGGGGAAAGTTTTTCACATCAAACACGACAGCAACAGTTTCATTGGATGACGAAGAAATTGGCTGACATTATTCACCTGTCACTCAGCTAATTCATTGTGCTGAAAAATATTCTCATGCCTTAAGCATGAAGCAGATGGTTTCAATTTTATCGCGTTTAGTTATGCAATTTATATCGGATGAAAAGTTTTCAATACCTTCGCTCGATTCAATTGTTTCAGTTTTATTCGCCGTCACTGTTTGAGAGAATGCTGAGAGCATTTAAAATATTTATGTAAGAGGATTTGTCATGTTGGTCTAGCAACCTTTGTTCATTAATCTTTGTGTACATAAAAGTTTTATGTTATACGAAATTACTCACCATTACAAACTAGCGGTCCGATGCGATATGGTGGTAAATTGGAGCATAAATGCATTCCAGAGTCTTCTGGCTTTGAGCAAATATAATCTTGCTCTTTGGAAAATTCATAGTAAAATGATATGCTGGGATCAACAGAGAAACGAAAGAAAAACAGAAAAGTAAACATTTTGAAGCTTAAAGCTCATTATAAGCTTTTGAAAGCTCCTCTAAAACTTTCATTATTATGTAAGTAGATTATTTCTTGGTGATTATACATTTATTTATAGACAAATTCAGAGAGAAATCATAAGTATCACTAAATGCATTATATTTATTAGTAGTTATGTCAGACAATTAGTTGCCAAGACCACAAATCACATAAATAAAAACGAAAAACTCACGAGTAGTCGTAAAGAAAATAAAACCAAAAATAAAAATTCTTACGAAGTTGTTTTAAAGCAAAGGCAAAGAAAAAGTTCTCGATGCGCTTGATTATCTTGAATCTGTCATAAATTTTGCCCCGCCATGAAATTTATTGCGTATCATGCGTAAAAATAAGTTTAATAAAGCGAACAATCCAATAATCTTTAATATGCTCAGTACCCTCAAAATCAGCAAAGAAAAAGAATTTCTTCCGTCATTTTTCTCATCGTATTTGATAGAATTTATTGTTTTTATGTGCCAGCGGCACATGTGGGATTTTATTGAAAACAAACATTCAAACATGTTCGCTCTCAATATAATGATAATACTCGCATAACATTGTAAGTAAAGCGAGGAGAGATATACTCGAAGCCTTAAATCACACAAAAACAAAAGAAAGAAAAGTAAAAGAAATTGAAGAACAAAAAGAGATTTATTTAACCGAAGAGTTTACTTTATTGGAAAATCAAAGACAATAATGGAATAAATGTTGTTCTTTCTTTGCTGAGAGTCGAGACACTAGCATATTGAATATGAAAGAATATCATATCGATATCATCATACTTAATGTAAGCGACAGATATCTTTATAAAGTTATCATATTTATATGAAAATGATAAATAGCATAGCTGACAATTCGAATTCAAGCACGTCTAATATATTTTGCGAACGTTATCAAATATTCTCAGTATAACCGAAGAAGCATGTAGTTGTGCTTGTTCACAATAACATCGCAAACACAATAAATTTCATTTTCGAAATCAACTGAAATAAAGTTTTCTTTGTCAATTGCTTCAGGGATGTCAAAATCTTATTTTCAAATGGAAATTTTCATAAGCAAACAATGTTCTCTTCATTCTTTTTAGAACAATGATAAAAAATATTACAAAATTAATGGGTATCTGTGAAGAACTGACGAACGAACAGAAAAAGTTTATTTTGTCAATTAAAAATGTATGAAGAAGAACGACTTTGACATTGTCGTCAACAATGTTACAAATTAAGTTTTTTTCTTTGTTTTTGCTATAAACAACATCAGTAGGTTGATGGGTGGAAGAACTCGCCATGTGATTAGCGTGAAGAAAGTGAAAGTTCCTAAAGAAATCGCTCGACGTCTCCACGAAAAACCAAAACACAATTTTGAAGTGTTTTATCCAGAAATACCTTTCTCAAGGAAAGCAAGCACTTTCGTGATTAAACATGAAAAAGATATTTGGGAAGATTTTTCGTAAAGTCGCCACAGGAAATAAAACCGAAAAAAAATGAAAAAGAATCTTTGAGAAAGGGAAAGTTGAATACTTAGACGAGGGAAAGGAAAGTTTAAACGACTTGAAGAAGATTAAAAAACAATCTGATGAAAAGATTGGATGGTAAAGAAGGAAGTAGAAACTAGGACAGAAAGAAAAAAACACATCTTGAGCATAAGCTCAACTTAAGAATTTTTCTTACTCATTCATTTTATGTCTCGGAGATTGAATGGCGACAAGAAGAAAGTGGAAGGAGACATGGTAATCCTAAAGAGCATTTAATTCAATTAAATCGCCATCTGTTATAAACAATAACAAATAAACGTCGCTTTTCTATTTTGAGATTTCTTTTTAATTTCATACACTTTTACTTTTCTTTAGATACTGTGTTGATTTAATCTAATTCTGAAGTGTGAAAGATGCTGTGTTGAATAATGCTACTGTTAAACTATATAAAGTTTCTTTGTGATATCTTTTTCTGTCGTGAGAAAAGAAACAAAATATTTCCAAAGCCAAATTCAAAATTGATAAGCAGATAGATTTTAAATTAAATCGAAAAACAATTTCAAGCGACTGTTTAGTTAGCGATCAAATTTTAATTAGGAATTCTTAAGAAGCAAAACTTGTTTATGAAGCTTATCATGCTCAAGTCAAAGTTTTTCAAAACATAAAAAGCTTGTTTACAGAATAAAGAATAAAAGCTCGGCATACGACTATGGTTGAGGATAAAGTTTAAGTTGGAAAGAAAGCGCAGAATGAATTTCAGGTGTTGTTAGCGAACAGCACAACTTTTGACATAACACAAAACTAAAATAAAATAATCAAGCTTGAAAGTTACGAGTGAAGAATGATGCTGGCAAAAAACTGCAAGTTTCAAAAGCTATTTGTGAGTGATAACTATGATGAAAGCTTCAGAGTTGATTGCTGTTTCTATTCGCTTGTCTCGAAAGGTTTGTGATAGAATTCAATAAATTTCAGCAATCAACTTTGACTTCTCTCAAATCTACGAAATTTACAAGATTGTTGATGTGTCGTGAATATTGTGATGTTGTTTTTTTTTGTCTTTGTAATATCAACCAGACGAACTTCCTAATCATCTCTAAATTACAAATGTGATATTCAAACTCAATGCAACATGCTCAATTTTTATTTGCTGTACAAAATTTATCTACTCTGATACAATTCGGTATTTGATTTAAATTTCAAAGGTTTGTTTCTGTTTTTTGAAATAAATTTGCACCAGAAAATTTTCAGATGAGTATGAGAGAAAAAAAATTGGAAGTCAATTTGGTGAAACGCTTTGAAAGATTAAATTGCTTGCCATTTGATTGCTTTCAACAAAATAACAACGAACTTCATGTTCATTTCATTTCATGAGTTCAAGTGTAGGTTGTGAAAGGTTGATTACTTAAAGTGCTCAAAGTGATCGAGGGCAGTATGATGAGACTTGTGCATGTGCTATTGAAAGTCAAAAGTATCTCATTTTTTCTAAAGTACCTTCAATTTCATTTCAAGTGGATGTTTACCACACAAAAAAAGGTAAGTAGAAATGTTACTCATGACATGAAGGTTTCTAAGTAGATACTTAGATATTTAATGAAAATTAAATTATTATTGAAGAAATGCTGCAACATATTTTCAAAGCTCTAATTTTATTTAATGTTCTGTAATCTTCAAATTGCTATTTTTTCTAACGTTAATTTGTTTTCAGACTGAGGCGCTGTGGTTCTAATGCTCAAAGTAAACACTAGAAACATAAATGAATGTAAGTTGTGTATACTTATGTGATGATAAAACATAAAAATAAAAACTAAAGGCTCACACAAATGATCTAATCTAAGGATTTTGTTTGGTTTCTTATGATTTTCTTACGAATTAACACGAACTCGAACTTTGAACTCTTCCGGAATCCTAAAATGAAATGGAGAAAATCCAACAAAAAAGAATGTTTTGGTATTTTTCTGATTGCTGTGTGGATACATAATTTTTGGATAAACATTTTTTTTGAGGAGGGTTATGGCTCTATACAATGCAACAAAAATCGAAAATAAAAACGTTTAAAATTTCTCTACGAAACTTCAATCATCTACGAATAAACAGAAGAGAACGCTACTGAAATACAAAAATGAAAATAAAAGAAAACGAGAAATGAAAATAATCTTTTTATGAACCCGAGATGGAAAATATATTTAAGATCATGTTTCCATTCCCAGGGAGGAAAAATGGAATAAAAGAAAGTGTGAAGCATTCAACAATAGACGAGAATAGCGATGGAGAAAATCTTGTAGAAAGTTTTCACATCACGTCTTCGGGCAATTTCTTTCAATTTGTTTCAATCACTTGCATGTTTATCCTACTAACATTGAAATTATATTGCTTCGTCTTTTGTATCTGTATTCAGTTAAATTCTTTGATGTTAATTGTGATGAAGTATGCGATATTATAAGTGGAATGTGTTGGAATTTTACTAGATCACATTACTTGCAGATATTTTATGTAATGTTTTGTTTTGGAAATTTATTTAGGAGAATATTCATTTCATGAGTGTGATATTTGAACTTTAGAATCGCAATCAATGTCATACAACGTTTAAAAGCTGTGAACATAATTAACCTACTCAAGAATATGTTTTCTCTTGATATTTCACTTATCTATGCTTCCGGACTCGGATGCTGANTCAATTAAATCGCCATCTGTTATAAACAATAACAAATAAACGTCGCTTTTCTATTTTGAGATTTCTTTTTAATTTCATACACTTTTACTTTTCTTTAGATACTGTGTTGATTTAATCTAATTCTGAAGTGTGAAAGATGCTGTGTTGAATAATGCTACTGTTAAACTATATAAAGTTTCTTTGTGATATCTTTTTCTGTCGTGAGAAAGGAAACAAAATATTTCCAAAGCCAAATTCAAAATTGATAAGCAGATAAATTTTAAATTAAATCGAAAAACAATTTCAAGCGACTGTTTAGTTAGCGATCAAATTTTAATTAGGAATTCTTAAGAAGCAAAACTTGTTTATGAAGCTTATCATGCTCAAGTCAAAGTTTTTCAAAACATAAAAAGCTTGTTTACAGAATAAAGAATAAAAGCTCGGCATACGACTATGGTTGAGGATAAAGTTTAAGTTGGAAAGAAAGCGCAGAATGAATTTCAGGTGTTGTTAGCGAACAGCACAACTTTTGACATAACACAAAACTAAAATAAAATAATCAAGCTTGAAAGTTACGAGTGAAGAATGATGCTGGCAAAAAACTGCAAGTTTCAAAAGCTATTTGTGAGTGATAACTATGATGAAAGCTTCAGAGTTGATTGCTGTTTCTATTCGCTTGTCTCGAAAGGTTTGTGATAGAATTCAATAAATTTCAGCAATCAACTTTGACTTCTCTCAAATCTACAAAATTTACAAGATTGTTGATGTGTCGTGAATATTGTGATGTTGTTGTTTTTGTCTTTGTAATACACACCCACGCCTTCCTATAAGACCATTCTTATTTTAACTAAAAATAAAAAACGAGAAGCTGCAAAAAAAATCAATTGATGCACAATTATTCTAACGCTCCAGACTCACCTTTTTATCGTGTAAACATTCAACTTTATCTGCAAAATGAATAATAATAGACAAAAGCGTTTGTCGTGGAGTCGTCTTCGTATACGACCACTTCATATATTTAGCTGTAATGTTACAATTTAATGTTTTTAACATCAAAATTGACATTCATTATGATGAACTAAATCATATAATTGATATTTTGTTGAATTGGTTTACATTTTGAATAAGGAAATTTTGCAATGTCTTCAATGACCCATCAAGTGCCATAAGTACTAAAAGTTTAATTTTTTTCTAATANACACAAAAGTCAAAAACAATTATGGCGTTGAGGTCATTAAGCAGCAAAACATACTCCAAGTTGAATATGAATATCTTCGATTAAAGCATGCAATGATTTTTCAGTCAGAAAAAACTCTATCAAAACTGATTTATATTTGTACCGGTTGAGATTCTCTCTCTCTCGAGAGAGAATATCTTAGTCAGTGTAGAGCGAGCCGCGGTCGAGTAAAGACGCGGAAAAGAATAAAAACATAATCAAAATAATATATATCGTCGCATTCATCGTTACCGAGTCAGGAGGCATTCTAGCGACGTTACACTGGTGTCAGCGACAAAGGAACCCAGTAGAACAGTGAAAAAATAGAAAAAAAATACAAAAATATGAAAACTTGGCAATGAGCGGCCATCTTTATTTTTTTAACCGCGCGAATTTTATTAAAAATTGTTAGGGAATAAATACCTAGATTGGTTTTTATAGTTACTAAACATTATCTGTGATATACAATGCCTTGTGAATCACCATTGTCATTCGAAATCGGGAAAAGAACATTATTAGAAATAGAAAACATACAAATTATGAACGAATACCTTTAAGAAATAATCAAACAAATGATGATGAAAATGAAATTATTATCAACATTCTTTCAAATAAATTTACCAGAGAGATTCAGAAATGCAAGCCAGCGTGGAAAAATGAAAAGGAAATTTGAAAAATCTAAAAGCAATCCGACATTCAGAGGAGATGACGAGGAGAATTACAAAGTCTGAAATATCTTCCACCAGTAAATATCTTCAGGTAAAGGAAATGGATTCTTCTGCTGGGAAGAGATCAGCAGCTAAACTTATATCGCCAGCTGTAAAAAATGCAAGTAAATTCGCTACAATAATGGACGATTGGGAGACATTAATTTCTCAGTCTTATATATCTGAATCACAAGAGAAATTGATCCTGAATAAGAAATCGAAAGATGATGCGGATTGTGAAACTTCGATTCATGAAATGGACAATGTAACATTTCCTCTTCCTCATGAAGCAACTAAAAATGATCAAGTTGAAGCTGATAAACTTCTTCAAATCAACACAAACAATCAAATGTGTCATTAGAATCAAGAAGAACAAGCTTGACGAAATTGGGACAATTGTTATTGATAAAATTCATTTGATATCAGATTCGTCACGTGGCTACATCCTCGAATTGCTTTTCACAAAAATTCTCTGCATGTGTCAAAAGTTTCATCACAAAATACAACTCGGTTTTCAAAGATCTCGAGAGTGAAAGCTCATCACCGAATGAATAAAGATTTTACTCGAACACTTTCAACTTGTTGATGTCCTTGTTGATGACGAAACGTTCAGTCAATTTGAGGGAGAATAACAAGAGCAAAATAAAATTGGAATGTCGATTGGAATTCAGAAATTCGAAATGAAACAACAAATGATCGGTGCGAATCTTTTACAGTCTTCGTTGAATAATTTCATTTTTACATTCGACAAGAATTTCTACATCGACTGCATAAGTTTTTATTGCAATGCCAATCGTGTTTTCTGTTCAGATATTCAGAATGACAACGTAAAGTTGATCGAAAGAGTTAAGCAAATGTTGATGAAATTAATGAATCGAAGTAATTAACTATGAACATCTATGAAGCGAAAGAACAACTAAAAATTCTTTTCAAAGCTTTGAAACCACCACACATCGTGAATTTTGTGAAATGATTTTAGCTTCAATAAGTTCGATGTGTTATGTTGTTGTTACATTGTGAAAGATGCATTTTCATGCGATATTATGATTGAAGTAGTTTGTATATACAAGTAGCATACCATAAATTTTTTCTTAAAAAAAAAAAAGCTGCATTCTCATGTAAACATTTGTATAAGAAGCCGCTTTTTAATGCAGTAATTTGGAAGTTAGCATTATCATGCTGAATCAAAGAAAGAGAAGGACAAAAGTTAGCATTTTCATAAAAATATTTTTTAAATAAGTCGCATTTTCATGCAAGTATTTTGAAAAGCATACATTGTCTCACAAATGTTTTGAAGAAGATGCATTTTCATGCCGAACATTTTAAAATGTAACATTATGTTTGAAAGTTCTTCTTATTGAAAGTCAGCATCTTCATGCAAATAATTGAAGAGGTCGCATTTTCATGCAGTAAGTCAGCATATTCATGCGAATATTCGGAAAGTTGGAGAACGTCTTAAAATGTATTTGTTTTTCACGAGTTAGCATCCTCATGCATTAAAGAAGTGGCATTCTCATGCAGCATGTTTAGAAAGTTAGCATTCTCATGCCATAGTCTTGAAAAAACAAGCTCCTCGCGCAAATGATTTTTGAATAAAGAAAGTCAGCATTATATTGCAGTATATTTTTTAAAGTTGGCATTCTCATGTCAACGTTGGCATCAACGTCTTTGATAAGATAATTTTCAAGTTTAAGCTTTGTAAGTCTGTAATTTTTTTTTCTGCCCATATAAATTCTGATTAACACCAGTTCTGAAGATATGTACGAATGAAAAAAAGGAAAAAACTAAATTTAATTAAANAGATTGAATGGCGACAAGAAGAAAGTGGAAGGAGACATGGTAATGCTAAAGAGCATTTAATTCAATTAAATCGCCATCTGTTATAAACAATAACAAATAAACGTCGCTTTTCTATTTTGAGATTTCTTTTTAATTTCATACACTTTTACTTTTCTTTAGATACTGTGTTGATTTAATCTAATTCTGAAGTGTGAAAGATGCTGTGTTGAATAATGCTACTGTTAAACTATATAAAGTTTCTTTGTGATATCTTTTTCTGTCGTGAGAAAAGAAACAAAATATTTCCAAAGCCAAATTCAAAATTGATAAGCAGATAGATTTTAAATTAAATCGAAAAACAATTTCAAGCGACTGTTTAGTTAGCGATCAAATTTTAATTAGGAATTCTTAAGAAGCAAAACTTGTTTATGAAGCTTATCATGCTCAAGTCAAAGTTTTTCAAAACATAAAAAGCTTGTTTACAGAATAAAGAATAAAAGCTCGGCATACGACTATGGTTGAGGATAAAGTTTAAGTTGGAAAGAAAGCGCAGAATGAATTTCAGGTGTTGTTAGCGAACAGCACAACTTTTGACATAACACAAAACTAAAATAAAATAATCAAGCTTGAAAGTTACGAGTGAAGAATGATGCTGGCAAAAAACTGCAAGTTTCAAAAGCTATTTGTGAGTGATAACTATGATGAAAGCTTCAGAGTTGATTGCTGTTTCTATTCGCTTGTCTCGAAAGGTTTGTGATAGAATTCAATAAATTTCAGCAATCAACTTTGACTTCTCTCAAATCTACGAAATTTACAAGATTGTTGATGTGTCGTGAATATTGTGATGTTGTTTTTTTTTGTCTTTGTAATATCAACCAGACGAACTTCCTAATCATCTCTAAATTACAAATGTGATATTCAAACTCAATGCAACATGCTCAATTTTTATTTGCTGTACAAAATTTATCTACTCTGATACAATTCGGTATTTGATTTAAATTTCAAAGGTTTGTTTCTGTTTTTTGAAATAAATTTGCACCAGAAAATTTTCAGATGAGTATGAGAGAAAAAAAATTGGAAGTCAATTTGGTGAAACGCTTTGAAAGATTAAATTGCTTGCCATTTGATTGCTTTCAACAAAATAACAACGAACTTCATGTTCATTTCATTTCATGAGTTCAAGTGTAGGTTGTGAAAGGTTGATTACTTAAAGTGCTCAAAGTGATCGAGGGCAGTATGATGAGACTTGTGCATGTGCTATTGAAAGTCAAAAGTATCTCATTTTTTCTAAAGTACCTTCAATTTCATTTCAAGTGGATGTTTACCACACAAAAAAAGGTAAGTAGAAATGTTACTCATGACATGAAGGTTTCTAAGTAGATACTCAGATATTTAATGAAAATTAAATTATTATTGAAGAAATGCTGCAACATATTTTCAAAGCTCTAATTTTATTTAATGTTCTGTAATCTTCAAATTGCTATTTTTTCTAACGTTAATTTGTTTTCAGACTGAGGCGCTGTGGTTCTAATGCTCAAAGTATTTAAACACTAGAAACATAAATGAATGTAAGTTGTGTATACTTATGTGATGATAAAACATAAAAATAAAAACTAAAGGCTCACACAAATGATCTAATCTAAGGATTTTGTTTGGTTTTCTTATGATTTTCTTACGAATTAACACGAACTCGAACTTTGAACTCTTCCGGAATCCTAAAATGAAATGGAGAAAATCCAACAAAAAAGAATGTTTTGGTATTTTTCTGATTGCTGTGTGGATACATAATTTTTGGATAAACATTTTTTTTGAGGAGGGTTATGGCTCTATACAATGCAACAAAAATCGAAAATAAAAACGTTTAAAATTTCTCTACGAAACTTCAATCATCTACGAATAAACAGAAGAGAACGCTACTGAAATACAAAAATGAAAATAAAAGAAAACGAGAAATGAAAATAATCTTTTTATGAACCCGAGATGGAAAATATATTTAAGATCATGTTTCCATTCCCAGGGAGGAAAAATGGAATAAAAGAAAGTGTGAAGCATTCAACAATAGACGAGAATAGCAATGGAGAAAATCTTGTAGAAAGTTTTCACATCACGTCTTCGGGCAATTTCTTTCAATTTGTTTCAATCACTTGCATGTTTATCCTACTAACATTGAAATTATATTGCTTCGTCTTTTGTATCTGTATTCAGTTAAATTCTTTGATGTTAATTGTGATGAAGTATGCGATATTATAAGTGGAATGTGTTGGAATTTTACTAGATCACATTACTTGCAGATATTTTATGTAATGTTTTGTTTTGGAAATTTATTTAGGAGAATATTCATTTCATGAGTGTGATATTTGAACTTTAGAATCGCAATCAATGTCATACAACGTTTAAAAGCTGTGAACATAATTAACCTACTCAAGAATATGTTTTCTCTTGATATTTCACTTATCTATGCTTCCGGACTCGGATGCTGAAGTTTATTTGTCTGTGCTTGACACAATCCCAAGGGTAGTTATTAATTAGCTTCTATCAGGGCTTGCAAGCAAAGCTACTTAAGTAAAATTTATAAGGAAACATCCAACAACCTTCTCAAGTATACAAACTAGCTTCTAGCTCTGAACTCTAAATTTGTTATCTTATGGTTTTCTTCAGATTCTTTATCTACAAATTACTTGAAATCTTTAGCAAATCAAAATAAAAGATGAACACAAACTAATTCACTTGGAAAATGTTCTCTAATGGAAAAAATTTCAAAAAGAAAATTGAATGCGTGACGAAAGCTTTTCTTTTATGCTTTCATGTTTCTATTCAACCACGAATGAAGTAAAAATAATTATCTCTAGCACGATAATGTCTGTTGCTTGTCTATTCTTACACTCATAAACTCACAAGTCACGACTTATTCTCAGGAGAAGGAAAACATTTTTATAAGAAAATCGCATTAATATTGCTACTGGCAAAGTGCTGAATGTTCGTCAATTTTCAGAGTGAAAGGTATTGAAAGCTTTATTATAATGAGTGACATTTTATGAGAATTCTCCAGAGAAAATTGTTTGAGCTGTTTGAAAATATCTATTGTTAGATGCACGCACACTCGTAGAAGAGAATTTGATGAATTATTTATTTGAACTCATGTTTTATGCTTTTTCACACTTATTAGAGGTGTAAATATCTAAATATTATTTTTCCTTCTAGCTGCCGGATTGGGAGAAATATTTTATTTAACAGCAAATGTTTGAATATAATGAAAATTTGAGATTTTTTTCTCTGATGAAAGTTTTTACTTAGAATTGTTTGAAATTTAAATGCTTTATTTACGGTTCCAGTCTCAGGAGATCATAAAAAAGTCATGCAAGTACGGCTAGCAAATATATAAACTAAATTCGCACAAGAATAAATGAAAGAAAAATATCGCAAAAATGTCTGTAAATATCAGTAAATCCTTAATGGAGATTGAATAACGCTCAAGTTTCTTTGTCGAACGGAATTCTTTTATGTATGAAAAGTTTTTCTTGGGTAAATGTCTGAGATGACTTTAGGAAAAAAATATGGCTTAGGATCCGATCAATTATGTTTGAGTTTATTGGTCCTTCTTTAGATGTCTCATCGATAAAAATCAACAACTCTCGAAGTATAGGAACTTTCAATCTTGTCTTGTTTTTGTATTTATGCAGAGTTAATTAAAGTTAAACAATCCAAGTACAGATCAGATAAATAGGAGGAAAATTGATTCAGAGAAATTTGTAATGAAAGGAAAATAAAATAAAAGTGAAACAAATTTTAATTGTACAACTTTAAAAGTATTTTTTCTTGCAAGAAAAGAAAGTTTGTAGAGAAGTTTATAAGATTGAGAAAGAAACTGAATCCACTTGATCATAAAAAACTACAAGATAAAAGAAGATTAACATAGTTCAAAATTAATGCAGGTAAAGTTTTCAACCAGAAGCGAAGTAAATATGAATTAAGCTTAAATTTTATCAAAAGGCTTAAAAGAGAAACCAAAAAATAGAAAGAAATTCGATATGCTTGATATCAATGGAAGTTTTTTGTAGCAGTTAAATGAACCTTATAGACTAAAGATAACTTATGAAGAATAAGGAAAATACTTTTCAAACTTTAAATCATGCAAAAAGTAGAGAAAGGGAAACTTTTATTTTTGCAAAAGCTCAAGCATGGAAGAAGAAATAAAAAAATCTGAAAATCTGTGTTTATTCTTTGGTAAGAAGATTGAATAAAGATAAACTTGGAAAGTAAAAAAAGTTGTTTAAAACAGGTGGAAAATCAGAATCATGGAAAAAATCTGTAAGGTGATTGTAATTTTTGTATGAATTTAATTCTTTAAATAATTTTCAAGTAAAACCTGATTAAATTTATTAATTGAGGAGAAATTTCTTTTCTCCATTTGGTTTAATTTTTCCTACTTTTCTTCATGAGAAAACAATTTTTATGATGATTGATGGTGGGAAAAAGAAATTAAAAACTTTCCGGTTAAAATACTTCAACACTATTAATGAAAACAATCTTGAAGATGAAAATGCTTTTAAATGATCTCAAATTAATTGTTTTTCAGGCAACTGCTTCTTTTAAGCAAGTGTACTGAAAGGTTTTCCCTCTGTCATCTTGAATAGCGACAATTCCGTGGAAAACCTCTTGTGTAATTTTTTCACGCTCAATTTGAATAATTTTTTTTCTCGTTTCATTCTGTTAAAAGGAAAAAAAGGTCTTTGGCTGGCCGGAAATTCTAAAACGACCTCGACAAGACTATCTTCAAAAGACTTTGCAGAGCAGGGCAACATGGAACACTGGTTTAGATTAATTCTGTTATATTAATTCTGAGAAGTTGAGAAAACAAAGGAGACATTTCCTTATCTTCAGACATAAATTATCTTTCAATTAATTTAAATATGGTTAAAAGAAAAAAAGTGATCACACCAAATGAAAGAAACATTTGAACTTACTCGGGCTTTAAAACAGCATCAGGTAATTGTAATACACATCGCTGTCGCAGTATACCTTCCCATAATTGAACTCCAATTATTCCAAAAATAAAAAAGACAAAGAAACATAAAAGAAGAACGTTTCCAAGCATAGGCAATGTATCCAATAGCAGCATTACAAGGATTCTCATACCTGGAAAGAAATCGTCATAGAAATGAAAAAGAAATCTTTAAAGTTTGATAAATTATCTTACTTGGAATCCTGTTTATAGCCCTTAATGGCCTCAAAACTCTAATAGTTCTAATAGCTGTTAAATTTAAATTTTCTACTTGTAAAATATATTCTAAAGCACCAGACATCACTATGAAAAAGTCCAAACGATTCCATGAATCAGCAAGATAGGTGCCACGTCCCCATCCACCCATAGCGATCATTTTTATCGTCATTTCCAAAGAGAAAAACGCGAAAATAACATCGTCAAAGATCTGTAATTAAAAGTTCAAAGAAAATTATTTAACAAAAAAGTTTAATGATGGTGGGAAGACAATTTGAGAAAACGTAGGTTTAAATACGGACGAATATTTAGTAGGAGTGCCGATTAAATAAATAGTCTAGGTAGTGAAAAGCATTTTGATAAGCTGCTGAGTCGTTGATTCAATGATTTCATCACCTAATTTATATTTGCATAAAATTAACATAAAGATGAAAGTTTATGACTTTTAGCTATTCTTTTCAACCTTTTTCTGTCATTCTTTTGTCGTAGTGAGCAAGAAAATTGGCAGCATGAGCTTCTCACTTGTCAACTCGCTTATACGTGACTGGCATTGGTCCAATGGGAATTAATCAAAGTTTGTCGGAAGTTTTTCTTCCAATTTTCTTATTTTTTTCCTCCATTCAACATTCTGATTGAAGTCAATTAAGATTCAACAAGTACGATAAAGTGTCAACATAACTCACCTGTAATATTTTACAGCGATTTTTCTCACATTTGTCGTCGACACAAGGCTGGAACATTCCGAGTGTTATGCAATTCAGAAGAATGACAAGCATAGAAACTCGCTCGAACCACGTATAGAAAGAAAAAGGGGAAATGAGAATTAGATTTACTATTATTACACAACATAACGAAATTGATTAATTTAAATTTGATTCAGTTAACTTTGAATTGAATTTAAATTATTTTTTACGAGAAACCAAAAAGTTTTCAAATATATTTCCGCAACTTCGTTAAAGCTTTCGTTAATTTTTTGTTTTGAAATTCAATTCCAAGCTCAAAAGCTTAATACCCCTCATCATGAAATGAAAATTTCATTCTTTATTTATTAAAAGTTTTGAGGATTGTGGTTCAACTAGAAATTGAGGGGTTCTTGAGATGGTTTGTGTTTATTTTCTGTAGCTCGCTGAATTTGTTTAATTATGAAAATTTTAATGAGGATTTTCAGAATTTTTCATTTCCATGGAATTCAAAAAATTCTCTAACGGTTATTGTATACACCCTCCAACTACAGCATATGTTACAGCACAAGCCTAATAAATATTATAGAGCGAATGTTAGATTACTCCAGTTGTTACAAGATCCAACACATGATTCATTAAGCAATTTTATAGACTCATTCATTCAATATTTTTTCTGAACAAACTTAGGTTTAAATTGAGATTACTTACTTAAGATTTCTTTATCTACCAAACTTATTACTAATTCAATCCCTTGTGAAGGTTCTAATTTAAGATTTTTTTATTAGTTGGTTTTTACCCGCTGGGCTCAAATAATTATTCTCAATGAGAATAAAATTTAATTAGCCAAAGAGGGAAAAAAATAAATCTAAAACTTTCTTCATCGTTTATTCGCGAAGTGAGAAAAGGCAAAAGAGAAAACAACATCCATTAAAACACAATTTACCATTTTCGCCGCGAATTTTTTTTCATTTGTTTCTTTTCTTGTTGCACGCTTATTTCAGGGGCACTTTTTAGCAAGCATAAGATTGAGTTTTCTACATTAAAAGAATTCCTATTAAAATGATAAATGACCGAAACTTCCTAAATTCAATTTGAAAGGGAACAGGAAAACGAATGCTTGTTTCTCAAGCTAAAAGAATTAGATAAATTTTAGGAATTTTTGGAAGAAGAATCACAGTTGTTTAAATTCCATTTTTCTTGGGGAGTGAGAGATGTTAAATTCTTCTTAATGGAACTACCATAAGCTCCACAGGCTAATGAAAATATCTCAGAACGTCTTAAAAAAACTGAAGATGGAAATTTATATGCTCAAGTAAAATCAGAGAAAATCTTTTAAAGCATCTCAGACTTTAAATGGTCCACAAAGTAATCAACATTTAACAGAATGTTTTTACGATTATTGTTCTCATTAACATGCTCGAAAACTTGTGCACCATTTTAATGTCCATAAATAAGTTCGCCAGACGCGAAAGAAATAAAAATTTTGTGTGTTCCTTTCCTTCCATTTGGTTGTACGTTGTGTGATCTCACAGCTTAACCAGCTATCTTTATGGTGCTAGAATGAGTCTTTAAAAAATTGATATTTAAACAAATAATGGTTTGGTGATGACCACAACTTAAGTTTAAATTAAAATCAAATGCCACAATTTATATTCCGCAATGATAAATGAGAATGGCAAGCTTTTAGTTAGTTAGTTCAATTAAATAGTTGAAAATGTCGGAGTAACTCAAGTTGAACACATTTTATACATAAAAATATTTGAAATGAAAGTGGGGTGGATAATCAAAACAAACGAAAACAAGTGGAATAAAAAAGAAGAAGAGACTTTTTCTTTCTTTTATTGTGATTGCGTTGTTGTTATCATATGGCGTGTTAACAGACGAGAAAAATGGGAAATCGTGTAAATGAAAAGTGTGAAGTAATTTTTTAAACTTGAATTTTCCGTGCAAATGTTTTTTGTTGTTGAGATTGTAAACATTTGGGAATGCAAACAAAAATAAACATTAAAGCTGCTTTACTTAGTTATTGTTATGTAACTAGGAAATGGATGATACTTTTGAGCTTTTTTGTATGATTGAAAGTTCAATATGGAAGGAGAAGAAAACTTCTTTCCGACTTTTGAGATATGAACTTCCATTAGATCATAAATTATGAATGAAAGTAGCCAGAGGCTGAAAGAATTTCCACGAAGAAGAAAAAATTAAATCCTCACCTCCCACCATCACGAATTTTTTCCATCTTTTGAGACAACAAAATAAATCGCTTTTTGTCATTAACTAAGTATCCGCATCTCGCCTTAACCTAAAGACTAATGGATGCTTGTGCTTAAAATTAATGTTTGAAAGTTCAATGACACTTTGAATTCTAAATTCAGAGAGAAATAATTAAAGTTTTGATTAATGACAGAAAGCTTTCGTTGTCTTCTTTTTCTCAAACTTTTTATTTTTATTTCTTGCTAAATATTTTCGAAACGATGTGAAAGATCCTCAAGCACATACGCATGATTTATGTAACTTGGAAATGTGAGAAGAAACCAACTTAACAACACCAACATGAACACTTTACAATAACACAAACAGTAACTTCTGCATTATTTATGTCACGTAAATAAGATTTAAGTCGCCGAAGAAAGGCGAGTAGGAAAAAGCTAGCGCGTAAAGAAAACTTTTTGGTTTGTATGTCTCTAAGTTGTCATGGAAGAAACTGATATGGGTTTGTGATGAGCTGCAAACACCAATTCCTTGGTCGTGCATCTTGACTTAGATATTTGAAAGAGAACTCTACAAAGCCTGGATAAGGCAGATTTGGTTGTCCTGATGATGTACTTGTCGTATCATCGCCACTACACGTGCTTGATCTGCTACCCGTACTGACGTCACCCGACGATGTTGATAGCGAAGACTTGTTGCTTTGGCTTCTTCGCATTCCATTCATAGTTCCACTCAAACTCCCACGCTTTTGTCCGCCAAATGGTATCCCATAATAACTGATATTATCAGCTCCGTCGCTCACGTTATAATAGCTACATTCACTCGCCCTTCTTCGTTGAATGTGGCCTGCCGTAAGCGAATTTTTTTGGAGCTGTTTATTGCCATTTTTAATGCTATTATTGCGGACGAAATTGCTATTGTTTGGCATTTTCTCTGATCCCGTTGTAGGTTGTTGAAAATTCGTTTCACTCTCCAAATCTGACTCGGAGTAAGTGTTGTAAAGCATGATGCTAAATCATTTGATTTGATTTTTCTTTAACTTTTATTCAATTTGATTAGCACCCTTTTAGTTCGTTTTCTTAAGTTATTTTTTCTTTTTTTCAGTTGTTGTTGATGATGTGTCTACTCAGTTGTGAATGTGAATGGCTCTCTTGTCAGTGGTTACTCACTGAACACGTTTTCTATTTAACTAAGCACATTATATTTTTTCTTCTTTCTCTTGTGGGACGTTTGTCTGTTTGTTTCCTAAATGAAAGCAATGAAACAGATAAAAAAATGTTTACCTTTGATTAATTATTGTATGTGAGAACGGTTGAGAAGTTGGTAAAAAGAAACTAAATTTGTGGGTGACAGAAGTCAAGAAGCGTTGTTATGGAAAATTTTAATAAATTAAGCGACGGGCTTAAGGATTTCGTTTTTGTCTCGTCTGCTAAATAAATTAAACTTTCTGAAATGTTCAGCTTTGGAATTGTTTCGCTTTTAGATATTCTCTAGAGACAAAAAAATGAACGAGGTGCTTTTGAATAAAATTATAATGACTAGCATTAGCTAAAGTCACCCTTGAGTCTCTCATATATTTCCATGCTTCCAGTGAAGGTCAACATTATGAAAACCAAATTTAAACAGTCACAAAACTTTACGCGTGGATTGAGAAAAAGATTTGTAAGCGACAATCTAGCAAATAATATATTATTCGATGCTAAACATTCAGAAATCTTAGGAAAACTTTCCATCTTGAGAGAAAATCTTTTCGAGATTAAAGATTTAATTAACTTGAAATAAAAGATAATGTTCATACATTAAGCTGCGACTTGATGATGCTTGTTCCTCCGTCTCTTTGACTACATCTCCTTTTGTGATCTTTTGAGGATTCTGGAAGCGTTTTATGTTCTTCTTGTTGTTGCTGTTATCTCTTTAAAACCGATGAAATGAAATGAAGAGTAGCAGCAGCCATCTGCAAACATCATTCAGATGAAAGTGTATGCAAATTTTGTGGTTCTCATGCTGCCTTCAGGTGGTGAAAAAAGGTTGAACGTGAAAGTCAATTCGATATTTGAAGTACGCCAAAAAACGGGAAGCGAAAAATGTCTGTAACAAGAAAAAGGAAGAGAAGTATTGATAAGATATTTTACTTAAACACATTCGCTCAGTAATGTTTAATAGAATATTATGAATTTCATCCTGATATCGTCAACGTATAAATACTTAATATCGCAAGCTTAAAATCATCATCATCATTTCCTTTTATTTCTGTCATCATGGGATATAAGTTGAGGCTTGATTATGATGTGCTTCGGTCTGAAAATAAATATATTCAATCCCTCTCACTTATATACAATACTGATGTGTATTTTTGAATATCATTCAATAAATAAAGCGTAAGAGAGAATACCATAAATATACAAGGATCATCTGAATTGTGGCAGGAAATTTGAAAAAAAAAACGATACATGGTGCTATGATGATTTATGCGGATTAGTGGCATTTTTCATCAATACAACAAGCGTTGTTGGGATGTTCACTCACATTGTAAGATTAAAGTAAGTACCTTAGTGACGCATAAAAAGCTTCACATTAAACATGATGGAGCTTTCATGATGATCGTCGTTGTGATACTCGCTTGTAGCAGAGATTTCATACTTTTTTCTCTCTCGTTTGTGCAGAAATTATATTGTACGTTCATATATCATTTATTAATCTAGAACACAGTCTCATGATAGCATAGGGCAAAGCATGTCATTCGGGAGTACGAAATTATATTTAATATCGAGAAAAGCTAGATAAAAGACAATTAATCGGTAAAATTTTAATGTTAAAATCGCTGGTAATTATGTTTGAGGGAACATAAAAAATTATGCTTCATTATGTTTCATAATAGAATGTTTCACCCTAAAGCTCTGCTCTGATATGATATTTATCTTAATCTCTCTCGTACTGTACGAATTTGTACATATGTTCATGACAAATATGGTTTTGCAGGTGACCTTAACCGTGACTATGTCAGAGAAAAACTTTGGTCGCATTCTTGTGGAAACCATATCAGACATCAAATATCTAAATGAAAAGTTTCTCTTTTGTTTCCATGTTTCAAAAGCTTAGTCATAAAATGGGTGACACGACACCTGATAAAAATGATTCTGTAAGAGATGTAAAAAATTCTTTTGTACATATTTGAAACAGAAACTTTGTTTCTTTTGTACAGTTTGTGTTTGGATTGAATTGAATTAAATTTTTGAATAAAACATTTTCTTTCAATTTTCGCTGGAAAAATTTTGATTGAAAAATGAAAACGAAATTTGTTATTAACATAATGATGGGAGAGTTCCAAAATTCAGTCATGTTTTGTTTCGAGTATTTTTTATAAATTTCTTTCAAACTGTGGAATTCTAGTTTTTAACCATTTTGAGATAGAAAATCAAATAAAATTCCTTCACATCAATTCGAACTACACTGAACTTTATGTTTCATTAAACTTTTCAGCTTTCTAAATTGACCTTCTGTAAAGTTCGGTGGAAAGTCGTATCGATTTCATTTTGGCGCCATGTAGTCTCCATCCCGAATAGAATCTCATAAAAAAGGGAGGAGAGAATGAAAATCTGAACAGTAGTAAGGTTCATCAAAAATAAAAGAAAAAGCAAAGCGAGAAATATAATTGAGTGATAAGATATTTATTTCGTTAATCATTAATCCAAAGCATGAAATGAAAGTTCTTGGAATTTAAGAATAAATCTCTAAATATTCACGTATTCAAATCTTCATTTTCTTACTACTTTTAAGTAAACACCCTTAGCATGTAAGTAGATCAGAATAAGACAAATATTCGCATTTGTATAATTTTATGTCTCTTAAAGGCATTTCCCATGAGAAGTAACCGAGCATGTCTTTAAAACTTTCTTCCTCTCCTCTTCAAATAAGAAAGTCACGAGGATGTTGTTCTTATGGCTGTGCCGACAAAACAATTTTCATGAAGCTTTGAGCAAACAAATGAGCGAACGATAAATGGATTCTTCTTTTCGGAAGGAGATTTTTGAAGACGTAAAAGTTTTCTCGTGTCCCGAAAACCAATTTCTCTCCCTTATATATTTGCTTAACAATAAAATAAAATTATTTTTCTTAGAAAGTTTTCTTTTCGATGGAGAAGAAAAAATAAAAGTTTTGCTTTGAAAAATCATGCGAATTGAATGGGGGAGAGAACGAATGGAATTAGATATCATTATGTTGGGAACAATAACGACCTTGTTAGGTGAAAAACGACGTCTATAAGAAATTAATGCTCGCTCAGGCAGGTTTTGACTTTTTATTTGGCTATGAATGTTAATATCGACTTTCAAACTTCCGAAACGTCATGTGCTTCGAGCCGGAACGAAAATCAATGACCACAAATTGAATTGAACGAGAAAATCGAGTTTTTCATACCATTTTGATAATGGTTAATCCAAAGTTACATTTATAAGGAAACTAACAACAATGTCGGGAAGGAGAGAAAGCAGAAGTAGTAAAATAAATCTCATTTCTTCCTACGACCGTATCTAAAGCTCTTTTCACAGCCGTGTGACTGGTAAAACCTTGTTGACAAGAAGGTTATTGTATTATCCTACAAACTTCGATTCAATAAGAATTCGTAACCTTTCCAATGTGATTTATAGCTGTAGTGGGTGGAATGGAGATGGAGAATTGAGAAGGCTGAATCCGGCACCGCTGCACGCTACGACACGGTAATTTTCATAGATTGAAGCTGATTATATGACGATGAGTTAAAGTCAGGTTTTTGGGGGTCTTCGATCTAACTTTGCTTTCCACCTGAAACTTCTCACGGTCTCCATCGATGATTGGAAATAACTGAATAAGCGAAGAAGAAAGAAATTGTTAATGCAAGAAGATTGACGTCGTTTTGGGAAGGGGTGGAAGTTTACTTTTCATCTATGAACGCTGAACTGATGTGAATGAGAAATCAAACAATTTGAAAGCAACAGTTGACAAGTCAAATAAATGAAATGAAGCTTTGTGAGATGTCACGAAAGGTTTGATTGGGGATCGTTGCTAAATATTCCCGAACACAATCGAAATAAAATTCCCGAAAACGTCTGTAAATGTGAAATCGATTTTTCTTTCGCAAATAAACAACGAATCTTCCCAGTTTTGATTCATTTGAAAGTAAAGGAGTTTGTCTGCTATTCAAAGCTCCACACATAAATCATTGAAATGTCGAGCAAAGCAAACAAACAAATAGTTCCGGAAAAGAATCTCGTGGAGGCTCAAACAAGAGAAAACGAGCGAAATTCTTCCATTCGACTTTAACATTTTCTTTCATTTAATTTTATTTATTTTTCTTCTTCCTCCCGTCGAGTTTTTCTTCATCTTCTCGCCTGTTTATCTCAAGATATGGCGAGTTGTTTGCTCATACGATTATATTGTCATTTCTTGGTGATTATTTCGCACACAAAGGCCACTCATGTGGACATTTTTTTGTTTTCCCATATCTGTCGACGATTAAGAAAACATAAATTTGATTTGTCGCATCAAATTAATTTCTTATTGTTGAAGTTTATTCGAACCCGCAACATTTCAATTTATTTTCGTCTTCTTATTTGAAAAAGCTTATATTTATGTTAAATTGAATTTCGTTGTATGATGAAAGTAACATCAAGTCTTNTTAAAAAATATAATCATTTCGAATCTATCAATACGTTCTTTGTTTACCTAAAGATTGCAATTTTGTGAAATATACCAGCTCAAGTTCCTTAAATCGTCAAAATGGATGCAGATAATTCCCCAACAAGTAGCTGGAGGGGAGACGAAGGATAGAGCGGATTAGGCGGAGCGCGTATGGATTATCTAATTCAATTTTTCTTCTGAGTGAGATTCATAATCATATCTTGAAAAAAGTGGCAAAAGTTAAATACGAAAACATCCTTTGGGGAGAAATAACCATTAGCTTCACAGATTTCTTCAGTTTTTAAAAATACCCACGATAATTATCCATTGTCTATCTACATGAATCATCGAGGGAATGCAAGGTTATTGTGTGAATCCCAAATGTGCCTGAAAATTGCCACCAAAAACGATGATTTAAAAAATAGAAGAGGAGTTGGTGCTCGATGGAATGTAGTTGTACGAGATGTCTGCTGCACTTGTGATCAAGCAAAAAAAACCACAAAAAAAACCAAACCAATTGTCGGATTGTCCATTAGGCTGGTACGATGAAATTAAAGGAAAATTTAATTTAAGTGATATAAAGTAGGCTATCACTTGGATTACCAAGTGTTCTTTAAGCTAAACACCCAATGAAAAACTAACCTTATGAAAAACTACACGAAATGAAATCAAATTCATCGATAACTTTGAAGAAATATTTCGTTTTTTCTTGAAAGTCCTTACCTGATAAATCTTGAATGATGAAGTTGAATCTGCATAATCTCAACCATTGCGATTGGTTAACGTCTGTTCATTCAGCCATCCAAAGTCAACATCAGAACCAAGTTGGAGCATCACCTAAGGACAACAAGAAAAATTATTTAAAATTCAAAATGTCTACAAAAAGGTTATCGATGAATTTAGAAATCATTTGTGTAATTTTCATTAATCATTCTCAACATGCTGCCCCGCATAAGCATAAAATTAAAAAATATAATCATTTCGAATCTATCAATGCGTTCTTTGTTTAACTAAAGATTGCAATTTTGTGAAATATGTTGGAATACCTTGTGTCCGGTGTACGAATACACATCAAAACTACTACAAGACGATGAAGCTTTACACTAACACTACCCTAAAACACGAAGCTTGAGCCTATAAAAGCCGTTGCACTTCTAAATGAATATTATTAATTTTCTATCTATCAATAAATAAACTCTGAATTAAGTTAAAAGTTATTCTGGTTCTTTATTGATATCTAACAGGTTATGGGCCTATACCCCTAAGAATTAAAAGTCAGTAAAAATTAAAATAAAAATTATTTATCTACCTAGTTAAGCATTCCAAAATTTATATGAACTTTAATTTGAAATCTAATTTCTCAAAGTTCTAAATAAAATTTGAGTACTTTGATTTGAAATTTTATTTCTCAAAGTAAGCTTCTGATTTGAACAAAAGAATCAGACAATAAATATAAATTCTGGTTCGAACAGGAAATATCCTAGCAACCGAATTTTTTTCTCTCAACGTCAAATAAAGACAAATCTTCAATCAACCCAAACGACGAAAGTGTCATCATAGTCTCGCCTGAAGAAGTCCCTACTACATCAGTCCCCACTACATCAGTCCCTACTACAACAATGTCAAAAGATCAAAGGGGTAAGTGACATTGAAAAACTCACAGGAGAAGAAAATTACTTCCCTTGGAGTCTACAAATTGAAGCCTGGTTGACAGATCTAGACTTATGGGTGAACATAGAAAATATACCAGCTCAAGTTCCTTAAATCGTCAAAATGGATGCAGATAATTCCCCAACAAGTAGCTGGAGAGGGGACAGTGTCATAAAGCCAGCTTCTTTTACTTTTGGTGTGCTTCAGTATAAAGCCACCCATTTTTGAAGCAAATAACATCACTTCAAATTTCAGAAAAAAACTAAAATGAAATCCCACGTGCTATTGCATTGTTCTTTTAGGATGCGCAATATTTGTTTCACCTGTTTGAATTCTAATTACCTAATTTTTAATTACCTACTTTGAATGTTGCTTCTGAATCTTACAGAATGGGACTTATAAAAAATTACACGAAATAAAATTAAATTCATCGATAACTTTGATGAAAAAATTCGTTTTTTCTTGGAAGTCCTTACCTGTGTAAAATTGAATTCAGCTTCATTAAAAAGCTTCAAATTACTATTGAACAATCACAGAAAATGATTCCACACAAGCACATGATTTTTATTGTAGGAAAGAAATTGAATTTATGCATTATCATTGCAGTAACCTAAAAATTCATATCCAAAATTATTAAAATTCTCGGCTATCGAAAATTTTCTAAATTAAAACTTACCAATTTTCATTTGAAGTTTTCCAGCTTTGAAATAATCTAATTTGAAGGAATTAATACTTGAAATGGTTTAGTTAACCAAAATTTTCTTCAACTCACAGCAACCTATGATTTTTCACCACATGTTTTTTTAATTTCCATTTTAAAACTTTTCACTGCACTTTCGCTTCACAAAGAACCTAATAAAAACAAAACAATTTGACTTTTACATCGTCGTCAATATAAAATTAAATAACAACGTAATTGAAATGACCACAATTCATTAAACTTAAATTGATTAATTTTTAGACGATGTTAACTCGTCAAGTTGAAGATTTAAACTGAGAGTTAAAATTCTCACCCGAACATCGAACAAAATTGTACTAAAAATATGGAGTAGATCTCATATTTTTAGAACGAGCTTTGACAGAAAAATTGTACAAGTGAACAAAACTATCTTTAACATTCGAATGTTTTTGCAAATCATAGCGTGTTATCTAATTGAGTTCTTGCAATTAAATTGTTGTCTGTAATCAAACGATGTTTAAATTTAAATAAATCATAATTTAAGTAAGAATTTAAGAACCTTTATTTAATCATTCAATCTTCTGTTCAATAATAACTTGACATCACTGATGCTTAGCAACATAAAATCGGATTCCATTCTCTGTAACTGAGCGAACATTTTTCGCAAGCAGTGAAGTGACACCAAGTTGAGGTGTCGTAAAGACTTCCACGTAAGGAGAGATCTGTGACAATGTCCAACGTGGCATTGTTTTAAAAAGTTTCCTCAAACGATCTGATAAATTCATTGGTAAATTTTCTTCAAATAATCCACGAATATTCGGCATCGAAGATTCACGATCAACAATTCCAATGCCGTCAAGATATTCTTCTTTCATTTGCATACCATCTGGAAGCGCTCCCTGACATGTCTCAAAAAACTCATCAATATGAAATTTCAAACCTTCTTGAAGAACATTTTGTGCAATTATTCTACAAACCATGTCTTCTTTGTATCGGAATTTTCCAGTTTCTGCAACTTCTTCAGTGTAAAATTCAAACATTGCTTCAGTTATTTCGTTTGGAACGATTCCATCAAGCGCTGTTAATGTTTCATTTCTATCGACTTCTTCCAAGCCCCAACTGTTTTCAGTCATTACACTCATCATTAATGTCACTACTCGATATTCGTAACCGTAATCAAGAAGACGCATAAATCCATTCACTTCGATGCAACGAATTTTCTTCAAGATTTCATCGAACTCACCAGCAGAGCATTGAGCAGTGTCAAATAGTTGACGACGGCTAAACATGGAATGTCTGTCTGTTAAATGCTCATTTTCTGATCCATTATAAGTATTCAAATGAATCAAATCTTGAATCTTTTTGATTCGTGGCTTAATCTGCCGACATTCTAAGTAATCGTAGAAGATTTTAAGAATTTGTTTGTGTTCGATTTGATGATCTATTAAAGGTGGTTGTGATGTTTCATTTTCTTCATTTTCTAAACTCTTATCAAGAGATTTATTTATATTGTCAGAAAGAGGTTTTTGTAATGGACTGTCACTTGTTGCTTCAGCATGTAGCAGTTCGGGAATTACAAGCATTGAGTTCGACTGTTCAGCGTTTCTCACTTCATAAGTTTCATTACTTGAACATAAGACGACTTTCTCGTGCAACCCTCCTTTAAAAACTAGATTTTGTCCACTTTCTATTTCCTTCAGCATATGTTGATCTAACTCGAGAAGCTTATAGTTGTTTCCATTAGAGAAATTCGGAAAATAAATTGCCTAAAAATTTATTTTGGTTGTACTTAGTATTAAAAATCTTTTAAATATCATAAGAATATTCTTACCTGACAAACTTTTGTAATGTTTTTTGCATCTAACTTTGCATATTCTATTACATCATTCAAATCACGAGAATTTCGTCGATAATCCATGATGAGAGAACTTATTTTAATTCATAAAAATCCGAATTCGGTCTGCCAGGATTCCCGCTTTAAAGGGGTGTGAAGCTACGATATTGCCCAATTTTACCCAATTTAAATTTAAAAAAAAAATTCATAGCGGTCTTAACAACAACATAAAGTGATCTTTATAAGAAAAAACAATGAATAACGATGATGCATACTATGAAGTTCAAATATTAGAAGCCAATAAGATCTGTAATGCATTATTGAGTGGAATAGTAATGGAGAGTGTATCAGATTTAATGAATAATTCAACACTTCCCGATTATCTTAAACATTACTATGAATTGGTGAAACTTTACTCAGAAGAAATTGAAAAGCTAAAGTAAGTTTGAGCACGATCCTTAATAAGATAATATAGATATATATTTTCTTTATAGATCACTTCAAATTGTGAATTGTCATGAAGCTTTGAAAATGAAAAACAATAAAAGTAGTGAAATTCACATCGCCCAAGCTGGAGCATTGCTCGATGAAATTGATGGAATTTTAAAATCAAATATAAAGCATTCAGCATCTCATGTAATTAGTAAAAGTGACTTGGAGACATTGAAAGATCAGAAAGATAAATTAATGTTAATCTTTGAGAAAATAAATAATATTCCGAAGCCAAATGAAGAGCTGAAATCTCACTTACAAACAATCAACAATATTCATACAAACCTCGAACACATCGGTAATACAATTTCAACAACAAGTTCTCAGATCAATAAATCACAAATTGATGTAATTGATTACACTACAGATGTTCTTCATCTGTCAAGTTAATTATACTTTAAGCTTAAATTTATTTTTTATTCGAGAATGTTTTTGTGCTAAATAAAAATGTTCAGTCAAATAAATTAAAATTAGTGGATAAAAGTTCATACATATTGTTCATTAGATAATAACTTATGTGAATTTTCCTAGTTCTATTTTCTTCCTTATTTGTCGCTCAACTTTGTGCAAAACACTATCAATGAGACTGGCGACTGTAAAGATTCCTCCAATGATTCCACAAATAGTAACAAGAAAATGACTTAAAGAATTGTATTTCTCAGTGTATTTGACCATTAATGGTGATAATTCGTAGCTAAAGAAAACACCAGGCATAGCTGATTCACCACTGATTGCAACTGCGGACTTCTGATGAGTCGTAACCGAGAATTGATTTGTGCGGAGAATCGGAGAACCTTCTTTAGGAACAAACATTGTTGGAACAATTTTAAGAAAATATTGATACATAATTGCAGTTTCTTTTGAAGTAACTTCGAGATTGTTCAGTGGATTTGTGAGACCAAAGCCGAATTCTTCACCAAAAGTAAGTTTATTTATTCGATGACTTGTATTGAACTTGGAGCTTGAAAAAGGTTGAACATCATGAACGTGAATGTGATTTAATGAAAATGAGCGTCCGGGTGCAATATGGAAACTTCCACCCATTCGATTCACTTCTAATGTTCCAAAAATATGACAGCCTTCATCAAATGCTTTCTTAGCAAATTCTCCTTCAAGTTTCCTCTCATTTTTACATTGTTCAAAGTTATCCGTGTTTGGATTCCATTTTCTCTCCCTATAAGCGTCGATAACGTCTTGACATGTATTACAGCAATGTGTTTCATTATGATTTGCTCCATAACATGAACCACAAACAGGTTTTTCATCTTCTTTTGATTTTTGATCTTTTGTTTCATTTAATTTGGCGCTTGTTGATGATTGAATGTTTTCTTTCTTCGGTTCTTCTATAGGAAATCCAGCTAAATTCAATCTTCGCTTAAAAATATCGTGTTCTATGTGTAAATGTTGTTCACCGGTTGAATCCATCGCATCGAGCGAGAGATAATCACAAGAAATTGTTGGAATCGTGATATCTAAATTAATTTTAAGTTTGTGTCCTCTGGTTGTATCTACGAATAACTCTTCCGTTATTTGAGGTGTAAGATAATCCTTAAGCTCAGTCACGACTAAGAATGTCATTAGAATTGAAGATGTAATTGTCACTGGAAGAAAATATTTTATTGCAATTATTGTGATGATGTGGCCCTGCAGAAAATTGCTTACAAAGAGCTCCGGAAAAGGTTTTATTCACTTCTATGTCGACAATCTTGGGAAATGCATCGATTTTCTTTAAAAACTGACCAATTCTCATGGTTAAAGATCTTAAATTTTATTGTTTTAAATGAAAATACTTTTATTTAATGCAACAAAATAAAACCAAAACAAAACTTTTCAAGTTGAAGATTATTAGTAACGTCTGAAATAAAGCGCATCAATGACTTTGTATGGGAGGTCAAATCCACGCAAGTTGAAATCCGGGCAGTCCACGTCAGTGGGCCCTTGTCCCTCATTTCGAGGGTATTCAAGTTCACAAAATCATCAAGAAAACAAATTTCCTTTCCACGTCTAAAATATAGATTATTGCTTTTACTTTCTATATATCATAACTTAAAATATTACAAAAACATTCTTCATACTGTCAAGATCATAAAAGTGTTCAAGTACATCTGTGAAACACGAAACAAGGAATGAAAAAGAAAAGAATGTGGTTAATAAAAAAAGCTATGGTCATTTACAATTAAATATTACAAATAACTGATAACAACGTAGTAATTTTCTTATCAAATAGTCATATCGGTGAGTAATGATTTTGAATGAAGTCTTAAAACATGAATGCATTGCTTGTGGCAACATGAATTCTGGTTTATTTAAACTTTCAATCAACATGGAGTTTTTACCCAATTCTCAGAAATTAAATCTAGATGTTGCAATCGTACTAAGAATTGCAAAAAGCCATCAAAACAGATGATAATGCTGCTTTCTTAGAAATAAAATGTTTTTGCCTGGGAAAATGGTTTTGTTTTGTAAATTGTCCAACTTTCTTTTCAACATTGTGAAAAAGAAATTTACTTTTAACTGTCGGACGATTAAGTTTTCCGAGAAAATTTCTTGTTTGTTGAAAATTTATTTTATAAATATTTCTTCATGAAGTAAAAAATACTAAATCTAGCTATAAAATCTTGATCAATTCGCTATGGTAGAAATATTCTTTGCATAGTATTAAACCATTGCATCATCAGACACTTTGGGAAGTTTTGGGGACACACGAAAAAAAGAAATAAATAATTGTTTCATTGAATCAGCAACCCATACAACCTCATAATTCAATTCCATGGAATTATGAATGAAAACCCATTTCTGGTGTTTAAATTGTTGCTAGTGTGAGAGACAGCGAAGTGTATAAAGAAATAAAAAGATACAAACTACTAATAAGAAGTTCGTCGTCTTTTCAACAAGGCAAAAAAAGATCGTCCGTTGGTCTTCTTTTTCTTCATACACCATCGCACATTAAATAGGGAGTTCATAAAACTTTATGTGCACACACACACTCTCGATCTTTGGTTTGTTCTGTTTATTAAAGATTTCAATAGAAGCCTTAGAAAAGAAGATCTTCCGAGTAAGGCTTATGATTTCTTTGTACTTCGTTAAGAGAAAAAATTATCATATGTTTCTTCTTTGTAACTGTGTTTGATTCTTGGTAAAATTGCCTCTTATCATATTCTTTTTCCTGGAAGAAAAATAAACGTTTATTTAAGTAACTGATTGCAGTCAAAACGATCATAATTTAAGATAAATCTTTACGATTTGTAAATTATTCTATTCGGGTAATCATTGCAGGCAATTTAAATTACTCTCTTCTGGGAATTGGATTATAATTATTTTTTTAAAATGGTATTAACATTGAGAGCATTTATTATGTACATATAAGCCAGGTGTTAATTCGGATAAATTTCCTTTGATATTCGTCATTCTATTTTTCATAATAAATAAAAAGTAAACTATTGTTAACAACACGATCACATTTTCTGTAAATGGCTCACATTTAAAGACATCTGCGGATGCAGATTATTCTTTGAAACACGTTATGACAAGTTTCTGAATTTATATTATGTTAGAGAACATTTTACTTTTTATATTTATTTTCCTGCGTTATTTTTGAGTGTTCCAATGAAGAATAAATTTTTCATTGAAGTATGAATTACACGATGATTCTTTGAAATTTCATAATGTTTTGTGTTTCGCAATGTTAAGTTTAAGGATTTTGTTTCTGATGTATTTCTTATTTATTATGCGATATATTTGATGAAAGAAAAAATGTTTTTATGAAGCTCGTGAAAGTATTTTCTTCACGAAAAGAAAATTTTAATTTTATTTCATAACAAGTTCTAAGAAAACTCAGCATGTCTTCATTTCTCGGAACGAATTTTGCTTATATTGTTTTCTTATCAAGTCTAATTAGTGCGATAACAAAAAAGAATATCGTTTTTGTGCGGAGTTTTACTGAGAATCAGTGCACGTTGTAAGCCCCGAAAAAAACCTGTAAAGGAAGAAAATATTTTTTTCGATGAACTTCAGTTTTCATTTCACTCCCAAGTGTGAACACGAACAGTTGTGATCGTGCGCAAATTTTTTTAATAGACACTTTATTAATATTCGCTTTCTGTTTTGAAAATTTCAGTTGTAGACAAGACGTCAACAAAGTAAAGTAACTTTGGAATCATAAAAAAGAAGTAAAATTAAAAACAGTGTAATCTGACAAAATTAATTGACCCGTTTTATGGACATACAAGATTGGAGACAAGAACAAACATTTAGTGACGACGACAAAGTAAATCCGAATTTATTGATAACAATAATCATGAAGAAGTTAGAAACATCAGCAGCTTCTAGTGGTGCTGGACCATCAGCATTGCAATCGTCACCCAATGACACCAACAACAATGACAATGTTAAAATTGTCAAGAAGGAATCGGCAGCTAAAGAATTCTGTAAGAATCTGTTCAACAAATCTTCTGTTAGTGGTGACAAAAATAACAACCAATCAGCGCCTGTTAGTAATCAATACACAAAAGTTACAGTTGATGGATTAATGTCTCAATTGACACTTCGTCAAGGAAATAATCAAATAATATCGAACAATACCAATCCGAGTTCACTCAATCAGAACGATTTAAATTCAAGGTGAGTCATTAAATTTAATCACTTTTTTCATTCGAAAAAGAAGTTAAAGAAAAAGTTTTGATAACGTAAAGAAAATTTCGAAATATTTCTCTGACGTCAGATTACCTGTGAGCGCCATGTGATCAGAAACAGACGAAAAATTTTTAACGAGAATACTTCGTTCCAATTTTCCTTTTCATTCTCCCCTTCCCCTCCCTGATTTACACTCTCGTGTCTGCCTTTACTTTTGAAATTATTTTTTCGCGGAAAACTAACGTCATATGAGCTTGAATTTATTCCAATGAATTCGTTTCTGTTTTTTCTTTTCGTTTATTATTAAACGAAAGCTACCAACGAACTCAACTTGTGATGATAAAAAAGAAAATGGAATTTAAATCAACAACTTGTTAAGAAATTTTTTAAAGAATTAGTATTAATAGTGAAAAGAATTGAGATACTTTGAAAAGAGAAAAATGTTGAAAAGATTTATTCTAAGATGATGAATTTTATGCTAGAAGTAATCAAAATCCCTCCATTTTGATTACATTTTCCTAGAAACTTTCTTCAACTTCACGACCGTATTTCCCGGAAGGAAAAATTATTTTCTATCAAGGTTTTCCCTGAAATGTTTATGAAAAGATGCTTGTGGAAAGGTCATCTTCAGCGAACTTCCAACAAACACACACCCACATTTTGTCGATGACCAATATTGGAGATTTCTCCGATCACAAAGCGTGCGAAAAGTAAATTTCACAATGACAACTCATGAACCATGATGACGATGATTTGTGGTTGATTCATTGAAAAATGTTCGGTTTCGTCACTTTTAGAAGCGGAAAGCCGGGGGAATATTTTTTAATTAACTCATATCCGGTTGAAGATTCTATTTAAATCTTCAATTTGAATCAGAAATTTTCGATTGCTAAGCGAACTTTCAAAATCATTAATTAAACTTAACATCGTATGATATTTGAAGTTGATTTCTTAGTATTGTCCAAGGTTAATTGTAAATATTTTATTGACTATTTCTTATCAAGCAAAGAAACGTGTGACGATTTTCACCTTCTTTTTCATTTCTTTATGAAATATTCAATTTTTTTTGTTTGTACATGTGATATGAGTACCGAGACAATTACTTAAATACTTGATATTCGTCATTCCTTCTCTCTTTTTCTCTCTCCATCTCTCGCGCACTTGCTTCCTCGACTCAAACTCGTTGTTGATTAACTAACTAATACTGTCGTGAAAGAATGAAAATAAATTTACAGTGAATTCTCTTCGACAGAATAATTATAAAAATCTCTGTGAATAGAATGTGAGAATTCTGAATAAAAACTAGAAAAAAAGTAACGTCACTGTCGAATGAGTCACAAAATAAATGAAACGCGGTATCACCCAAAATGATCTAAATCGCAAAGACATTAACATCGAGAAACTGCATACATGCACAAGAGACTCACTGGCGTTTTATATTTCATTCGCTCTTCTCTTGTTAAGTTTTTCTTTTTTCATTTTTTTTGTGCAAAAAGCTATTTACTTACTTATGAAGGTTTTTTAAAGATTCGCAAGTAAACGAGTTGCGTTCTCACTCTAAAGTTGTGCTTTAAATGAAATATTTTCGATCAAAAGATAAAGTTGGTTGGAAACAATTTTTAATAACACCTGTTGGAGTTGATTGTAGAATTTATGTAACAAGATAGTGAACACGTTTCTTAAATATATCACAAAACGAACGATGATTTTTGGGAGTTTATTGTTTAGGTTGGTTGGGGAAGAACGGAAATGACGATTCGAAATGCAAACAACAATCGAATAAAATGTTCTTTTTTTCTTTCATATAATTTCAGATGTAACTCAACAAATGAGCAAAATCGTTTAACAGAAGCTGAAGAGCGTGCACGATTACAAAGAGCTTTAGAGATACAAAAAGGAATTGAAGTTCCATCAAATTCAACTGCTGAATGTTACTCATCATCATCGTCTTCGCCTTCGCCATTAATATTTCAACAACAACCAGATGTTAGTCAACAGAACAGAAATTCGCAACAGGAATCGTCGTGCGTAAAATGTTTGCACAATCAAGCACAGTACAAGCAATTCGGAATGGCACATACATCAATACTTCCACTTGCCGACGGCGAAGTTCCAAAGTTTCATTCGCAAGATTATTATTGTCACTTTCTTGTGCCCGATTTGGAGAAGATCACAGCATGTTGTTACTATTGGGGAAAAATGGATCGTTATGAGGCTGAGAAGCTTCTCGATGGCAAACCTGAAGGAACTTTTTTACTTCGTGATTCAGCACAAGACGATTATTTGTTTTCTGTTTCTTTCCGCAAATATGGACGATCACTGCATGCAAGAATTGAACAGTGGAATCACAAATTCAGTTTCGATTCTCATGATCCATCCGTTTACACAGCATCAACAGTGACTGGTTTAGTGGAACATTACAAAGACCCAGCATCAGTGATGTTCTTTGAGCCTATGTTGACATCGCCACTTCATAGAAATTACGTCTTTTCACTTCAACAACTTTGTCGTGCTGCAATTGTTAGTCACACGACATATGATGGCATTAACGAGTTATGTTTACCTGCAACAATGAAAAGTTATTTAAAAGAATATCATTACAAGCTAAGAATACGTGTACGACAATTTCCTGAAGCTATGACGAGTTTATCATCCTCTTAGTGTCAGGTAAGAAAATCAAAAGAAAAACAAAGAAATTAGAAAAGTTTTTATTCTTGGAGAAATTATTTTGATTGCTTTAAAAATAAGTTTAAAGCTTGTGACATTTGATTGACATTTGTTTAAAGATCGACTTTGAGAATGATAGTCGTAAAAACTTAATTTCTACCTATTTAAAATTGATTAAATTTTACTTAAATTTAATTTCTTTTTTAGGTGATAACTTTCACACTTCCATCTTCATCGTCATCTTCATCCAGTAACTCATCATTATCAAGTAATCTGTTTCCGACTTGGCATCTTGGCAACATAAGTACTATGACAACTAACAACCCGACACCATTTCAATTCAATTATCGAGAAATCTCTGAAAATGTTCATACTGAACCAACGTCAGCAGCAGCAGCAGCATCATCATCAATTGTTACAACTTCAACTTCTGAAGAATGTTCGATAACAAAAGAGAACAGTAAGAAAAAATTCAGGAAGAGATTGAGGAGCTTCTTTGATAAATTATTCAAGGAATGAATCCGTGAATGAGTGAAAATGAACAAAAAGCTTTCAAAGAGATTTCATTTTTCATTCATCAATTAAAGAGACGCCCAAAACATTTATTTGTACTATTTAGTCATAAAAAGAAGAAATTTTTATTTGAAAAAACTGTTCAAAAATTGGAAGTTTAGAGTAAGAAATTGTTGGCATTTAAAAGTTAGAAAAACCACTATAATAATATAATCCGAGCTAGATCATTTCGAAAGAAGAATCATTTTGTCATCATCGTATTTTAGTAGCTCTGATAAAAATAGAAACATGATGATATTCGAATTAAATACATGGAAAGTCTTTTAAAGTATTTATGTTTAGGGTTTGATCTTCAATATTCAAAGATCGTTAAAGATTAGTTTGATTAAAGGAATGTTTAAAGATTCTTTATCTACAATCAAACTTTAACAACAAACCCTAAATTTTTCATTATAAGTTTAACTTCAAATTACGACAAATCCCAATATTATTATGAAACTAAAGTTATGTCATAAATAATTTATTTATGAGTACTTAGATAGTAGAAGAATTGCCTCGGTTTATCCGAATTCTTTATTTTAATTGTATAAAATTGCAAGATTGACGCAATGAAACAAATGGAATCTCATGAAAATCTATAACATCAAATTTAACTTTGAACTTTAACTTTTTTCAAACATTGTGATCACAAAAATGGATTTTTTTCGCTTTAACTTTTGTAAAATAATTTTCAACGACAAAACTTTGTTAGTTTGTTTAAAACAAAAAAAGGAAATTTGAAAGAAACACAGACGAAATAAATATTAATCATCATGATTCAATTGAACTTTTAAACGATTCCAATTTGGTATTAATCTTTCCTGAAGTTTTAATTTTCTTAATAAATTGTGTTTTTAGGATATGAAAGTATCAGGAGAAATTTTAAAAGAAAATTTATTGTTGGTTGATGATTTGTTAACATTTATCATTGCACAACCAGATGAAAAAAATATTTGTTGAAAAGATGTTTAAGGAAGAAACCGACAATAATTTTTGAATTGAAAAGTTTTCAAAAATATGCTTGAAATGGTTTCAACTGATTGTGTTTGAAATTCATCTGAATGGTGAACGACACAAACTTGTTCTAGTAGTTACATAAAAAATTTTAATTTAATTTTTAAAATAGAAACGATATGAAAGTTGTAAATATGGAATATTTTGTAAGTCTTAAGCGAAGGATCAAAAAGAACAGAAATAAATTATATGACAAATTATAACAATAAAAGAGAAATGTTATCATATCTATGAGAATCTTTATTTTGTTGTTGTTTTTGGATTAATTAAACATTTTAGGATGAACATTTATCGTGAAGTTTTGTTATGTTCAGACTTGTCGTATTGCCTTAATTTAGCGAAGGTGTTATTCCTGTCTTTCTAAAGTCACGCGATCACGTCATCACACTTTCTGCAGTTATAACACCCTGTGAAGAATCTTGCAAGTACCTTGAGATATTACAACATCCATTGCCAACGAAGGCGGAATTTTGGCTTTAAAAATGTTGAATTTAAGTTTATAAATATTTACAGGAAATGTTCCATGTCAACTGACCAACTGATTTAACATGCCAAGTGTCATCTTTTATTTACAGAATGTCGTTGAAGTGAAATTGATGGATTTTAATTATTTATTGACAATTTCAGTTGAACTGGAGCAGTTACAATGAATTGCTGTGTTAAGAAAAAATTTAAAGGGATAATGATTGAATATCAAATTATTACAACCATTAAAATTTTTGAAATTCCCCTAAATGTTCAACCTCATTTCAATATCTGATCTAAATTTATATATTTTCTTCATTTCAACAACACAACTCATGATGACTTCTAATGTAATCGATATAAGAAGAAAAATGCATACTTATTTACTAACCAAGATGTAAATGTTGACTTACCTTCCTTTTTCATCCTCATCCCCATTCCATTTCTCGTACATGAATCATCAGGTTGAAGTTGAATGAAAATTTTCTCCCATGTCATCTGTTGCGCTTGAAAATAACGAAAACTCGTTTCTCACAAATACAAAGCAAACAAAAAGTGACCGAAATTCATGAAACATGCGCAATAAATGTTGCTGAAGACTTTCAGAGCTTTTATCTAGTTTGTTCTATTAAAATCAACTTCAGTAGTCAAAAGTATGTTAAGGAAGAATGTCACACCCTTCATCCATTGTCATCTCATCTATTCAACGTTTCATTCGAAGCTCGAGATCATAAAGAATTAAAAAGCCGAAGGAGAGTAAAATATCATAAAGGATTATTTTCTTTCAAGTGGTGATGTTCACTGTTCGTTGGGGTTGACAAAAGCAACAAGGAGACTTTCACATTGATGTCCTTAAATTATCGATTTTCTGCCTTTGTTATTGTGCTCCACTACTCTGTTGTTCACTCCTGTTTTTGTGGATTTGTGAGAGGCTCAAGCTTTTCACATCAGCATGAAGCTGGTTCATTGTTAAACTCACATTTCACACTTAACATCCCACTACGGATTTTTGATCCATGAATTTTTAAAAACTTTTCCGAAACAAAAACTCTTCCGTTTCTTCATCTCTCCACAGCCAGCGGAAACGAAAAGTAAATAGGAAAATTTAATCAAAGATTTTTTTCCCTCATCGTAAATTTGCGCGTTGTCGGAAGAGAAACAATGGGAGATCAGGTTTAAAAAGGAAATTTAATATTGAAGTTCTTTTCATATTTAATATTTGTTAAATCTTTTTACCACTAACCCAGTTAGAGAAGTAAAAAAATGTTTAAAACTTTTCTATAAGCAACAAGAAGAAAAAATTACAAACTAATTTGGAAAGTCGAGGTGAAACAGGTCGATTGAAAATATTGAAAAAAAAGCACAAAGTTTATGTAAATATTTCATCGTCAGCTTTGGGGACATGTTTGGTTCTCAGGTGGAAAGATATTAAATTTCCACAAGACTTAAATCACCCTTGTGGTGATATGAGTGTGTGCAAACACAAATGATGAATGATTACGTCTGCTAAGCTTGCAAGTTTGTATCGAAAAAGAGTAAAGACAAAGATCCATGAAGGAAAAGGTTCAAAATATTAGACGGATATTTATCTTTATTTTTTCCAATCATGAAGCAAACAGAAAAGCAAGGAAAAAAACAATTCATGAGGTAGAAATGGATGAAAAATCGATTTGAATGAAAAATAATTTGAAATTCTGCTACCGGAGGGAATCAAAATGATGAAAAATCTAAAGAAAATTTATTCACAAAGGTATCTACAGTGTTATGTTGCTTATGAATGTTATTTTAATGGAATGGTTTGTGAAACATAAAATGGAAAGTTTTTCTCTTCAATGTTTCAAAATTTATGCTTGGAAGGCAGTTTTATGAAAGAAAACGACGACAAAGCTTTTAGGGCCTCGATTTCTCCATCGATTTTGTTTACAAAGAATAGCAGAGTTTCGATTAACAAAGATCTATTACAATAATTCATTTTTGTTAAATATTTCATGAGCAAAACTTTTCAACACAAAACAACACCAAGCACAGGAAGTTAAAAACTTCGTCTAGGGTTTTCTAAAAAGCTTTTATCAGAAAAAAAAATCATTTCAATGGGAAATCAGAATCTCTAAACCTTGAAAGCTATAATTTATGCATTAATCGAATATGAAACCACCCTCCGCACAAGAAATATTCATTAATTATTCATTAGTCCTTATTACGCATAAATTTCTGTATTTGTTGTTCTATTTATGGTTTTATTTATAGCAAAACGAAAAACGGCCGAAAATTGAAATGAAATTCGCAAAATTGTGACATCGTTTAACTATTTACTGAGCTTATACTAATGAATATTTCAAACTTTTATTACATGTCAGACGATAAAGTTTCATATATTTAGAACCGTAGAATATAATTAAATTTTCTACGTAGCAAAAAAGGAAGCTTTGGTGAAAATGTCTACCCAAAATCTTAACGAGAATAAATGAAAGTTTGTCATTGCAATGATATTAATAAGTAGAAGATAATCATAATTGATCGATAATTTCCGTTGACAAATTTAGCTATTAATTTGTGATAAGGATCATCAAAGATAAAAATGACGTTACTAAGATGAGAGGAAGAAGTAGAAGAAGATTGGGTACTGCGATTAGTTAGACAGATTACTGTAATAGCATCTTTGTTAAGATCTTTTAAAGAAAATTAATGACATCAGCACTGAGTATAGCAATTGCTACAGATTAGAAAATTACAGTTTCGCTTCCTTTACTTATATAACAGAATTACAGAGAGGCATGGAAAAGGGAAGCGTTTTAATATTTTAGAGATTTCCCTTCGTTTTCCCGGAGATATGAAAGGTGGAAAAAAAAGATAATTGAAATTTCGCAATCTGAATCACAACTTCTTGACATTTATTCCATCTGACATACATATTTAGACGTTGAACATACAGAATGAACATATTTTTAACACGATGGACGACGTATAAACTCGAAGTGGGATCATAAATTCTCATTCGTGCAATCAAAACTTCAAATTTTAAGATATTTATGTTAGGCTTTGTTCATGTGTGATGGAAAATGTTGAAAGAATTTCGAGAATGATAACGAGACAACAAACCAACATCATTTTCTTAACAAGTCACATTTAAAGGATAAAAGAAAAAGTTCCTGAAGCATTGTGATGGCTCGAAAAAGAAATTGCGGCAGGAAAAATATCTGAAAACAATCTGACTCTTTCACATTTATCACAAATGATGCCATGCTATTCGTATGTGGAAATACTTCTGCTTTTGTTGCAAAGATGAATAGAACCGTAAATTTCAGGAAATAAAAAAACACTGAAACGATTCTTTCCTTTATCGTTTTCAATTGAATAAAAATAGATATTGTTGTACTTATGTTGGGAAAATCACTAACAATTTATATGTTAAGGACGCATTTATGGTGACTTAGCAAAGCTGGATTTTGTGTATGTTTCTGTTCGTTAACTTGAGTAGAAATAATAGCAATATTTACAGATCTAATAGCTTATTCAACTATCCGATTAGCAGTTAATGTCAATTGAATAATCGGCTATCTTATCAATAAAGCTTATCGTTAAAGGCACTTGTAATCTCCAGATAAATCTATATTTAAGCATTCAAAATAAAACGAAATTTATATTCAGTCAGTGTTTGATCGGAACTCATCAATAACGCAATGAGGTAAAATTAATTTTGTTTCATTAATTTCAAATTTTAATTGAATTTTCTGTTTTTAGGTTTAATTTCATTATCTCTACCTTTTGTTTCTTAACAATCGTAAAGATAGCTCAATCAGCTACGTGTTATTATACAATAGATTTGATTGGCTACTCGTGTCGATTGATGGCGAATACAGATGCGGAACCAATTAATTTGGTTATCACTGGAAATCATGTCTTTCCGAAAGACGATCAAGATGTTGTTAATATAAGATCGTCTGACTCTAAAATTGAATTCTTTCCATCAAGTATGCTAGGAAAGTTTCCCAATTTAAAATATTTAACTCTGAACAAAGTCAGTATGACAAGGATTAATACTCAATTGTTATACTGCCAAAATCTACAGAAGATAAATTTATTCATCAACGGAATTTACAATATTTCATCTGGAGCTTTTGAAAGTTGCATTAATCTTTTGGAATTGGATCTTGGACGGAATTCATTGAACTCTATTGAAACGGAATCATTTAAAGGATTGGACAAGCTTGAGTTACTCTTCTTAGATTCAAATGACATCCGAGAAATTCGTGTAGGCGATTTAAACGGTTTTAGAAATTTGAGGCGTCTGCAATTGAGTGGGAATAAAATATCAAACATAAATTCTGGCGCATTTGATTCACTGTCAGAACTCGAACATCTTTATCTGGGAGAGAATGAAATTACGAGCATTGATTCGAGTCTATTCAGCAGTTTAAGGAATTTGATAACTTTCTCTGTAGCTTCAAATCAGTTGACTAAGATAGAAGCTTTGACTTTTGAGAATTTATTGAAATTGGAAAACCTTTATCTCACTGATAACAAACTTACTTCATTACATGATAACACATTTACGGGATTAGATAATTTAGCGGTTTTACAAATTGTAGCGAATGACATTGACTCACTTTCTTCGTTTGTCTTTGAAAATTTAACCCGTCTTGTGAATCTTGAATTGACAAATAACAAAATAACAAGATTGGAATCTGAGACATTCTGGAATTTGGTGAACTTGTTTCGTCTTGAAATTAATAGCAATTTAATTGATTTCATTCATCCCGAAGCATTTTCGACATTTACAAGACTTGATGGTTTATGGCTTGAAGATAATAAACTTCAGAACTTGGAATTTTTGAAGACCGACGCTATGAAGACTGTGACCTCTTTAGTGTTGGAAGATAATTTAATTAATGACCTTCCAATGGATACTTTCAATTCTTTCGTTAGAGCTAGAACTTTTCATCTTGACTTTAATCAGATTAAAGAAGTTCGGTCATCTGCATTTGGTGCTCTTCCATATCTTACATATCTGCACGTTGAGAACAATCAAATTGAGGTCATTGAGAATAAATTCATTGAAAACATTCCGAACCTGAGCATCATTTTTGCATCAAACAACACCTGCATAAATGAAATACTCAGGAATATTACATATGAAATGGATCTTTTGGAAGATTGTCTTAGTTCTGCACCAGTATTTACAGCTCAATCTTTTATAACAATCACGTCAAGTTTCGTAATTTCACTGTGGAGTTTCATGAAACTTTAATAATAAATAATAAAAACATCTTTATGAAATTTTAATACAACAGACGATGAATAAATTTCTATTTTTCACTCTCCGCTAGTTGCATCTCTTGAAGTATTTTAATATTAAACCAACGCCAGAAATTGAATTTAATTTTAATTCAAAGTAAACTTTTTCGCGGAAATTATTAATTTTGAATACAATTCCATCTTCTGACTTGAAATATTAAGCACAAAGAGAAAATTTATCTTGAATGTGATGAAATGTGCTTGAAAACTTTTCATCAAATCCACAAAAGAATGAAAATAGAAAAAGGATTCTCGAAGAATTTTTAAAATGCTTTTTCAACTTAAAGCATAAAGAAGGAGCAAATGAACATCAGTTTATTAAAAACGACCTGCAATGAGAGAATAAGTTGAATTTATTTATGATCCCGAAGCATGAAACGAAATTTTTCCATATTCAAGTCCCGTGCTTAGCCATCGGCATTTTTCATTCCTGTAAAAAACTTTTTGCGAGCATTTTGGACCAGATGTGTGGAGTAACGACTCCACTGTTTGTTTTCAGAGAAAGGTTTTCCCCATTTTGATGGAATCACCTTTTTGTGTGTTTGGGACAAAGATTTCTTTTTTATATTTCCTCTCGAGTTTTCAGGAAAATTTAATGGAATTTATACGTTAATGCTGTCAGCGTTAATTTTAAGATGCGACCTTTGAGATCACGTCACTGGAAGCAGAAAGCAAAATCTTATGCATAATCAACAAAGCTTTAAATTCATAATCAGTTTCAATAAAATTTCCGAAGAAATCTGACAAACTAACAACTTTTTTTTGTCTTTGTTAATTATTTTTTTGAAGCTCTGGTAGATAAAACGACATTAAATATTTATTTAGTAAAACTTCACGATTTTGTGGATGCGTGAAAGTTGAAAAACATTTCCCAACTTTATCCCGCAAAATGTTATCAAATTTAAACAAACTTTTATAATTAAATACGAGAAAATGAATTTACAAACTGGTGAAGCAAAGTCAATGACGCTTCAGTTGAATTGAAAGGATTTCAGAGGAAGTTTTTTTGCTTTCTAAAGTTAAGCTTAAAATTTCATCGACAAATTTTTTAACTGAACATCGTCACTTGAATAAATAATCATTTTTCATGTTTTGTGAATAAAGTAAAGGAATTGAGGTTTGGATAGCTTGTGCTTGCTGTTAACGGAATTTAAATTTAAGACACAAAATTCAAAAGCAATTTCAGATGATCTGTTAAGCTTTTAACTCCACAAAGCTATGAAAATTATCAAATCGTCTGCAACATCTGAAGAGACTTTCATGAAGTTTGGAAGATTTTCTATCAAAAATTGTCTGCTTCATTAAAAATTAAAGTTTGAATAATTTTTGAAGTTTGGAATATTTTACAGACACTTTGGACGATTACAAAACGTTTAGCTCAAGAGTAAATGATTCATTGCTTGCGTGTTTTCATGAATGATGGAAAATCTTGAGCTGTGCGGAATTTAAAGTAAAAACCGTCACTGGAGTACTTCATCAATAATTTAGGAAGCTTTCTAATCTTCTTGGGAATTGAGAAGCTAAAGTGACACTCTTTTGTACACTTAACAAAGCTTAAAGGCGATATTCACGCTTCAAGGTTTTTCAGGTCATTTAGCCTTGAATAAAATTTGGAACAAAAGTTTTCCCAATTTCCCTTTATTTACCTACCATAAATAAGGATAAATTTAGAAAGAATCTTTACATCTAAGTAAAAATATTTAATGGAAGAATTTCCAGCTCAGCTGTTCTGAATCTCACACATTACATTTTTTGTTTATTTTGCAATATTTAGTTAAGAGTTGATCTCATTGCATTGCTTAGACATTAGAAGTATTTTCAAATGTATTGTGTCATCATGTAGAAGGAAGAATGCTGTACAAAGTGTAATTAAAACTTAATGGAAGGAAATTAGCAAGCTTAAGTTTTAATTGGAACTTTTACGAAACATCCACAACACAATCCAATACTCACTTATTAATGTTCTCGAACAATCAAATGTCCCAAATCAATTTAAAACAATTTAAAAATGTCTCATGAAACTCAATACAAACATTTTCCAAAGTTTTTGATATCAATATCTGAGTATTTCTTATTATTGAATTATTTTTAAGAAATTCTTATGACAACAATCTCTATCCAATTTATTTTTCGAAACTTTCGACCTTTTTCCAAGTCTAACAACAGCAGGACATAAACAACAATGTAAACATTGATTCTTTTTGAACTTCAACTCAATTCTTCATGCTATGAACAATCAAGATGTGTTCTTATCATATACTTGGAAGACTTTCATGATGCCATAAAAATTCAATCCCTTTTCGAATCCCTCGATAAAATATCATTTCTCTCAATATTATTCGCACATATCAATGACATGAGTGAATATTTTGTAGGAAAGTTTTCATGGAATCAATTATCTATGAGTATCTGCATGGAAAGTAGTGAAGAATTTATCATAATGATTTATGTAATTCTACTTTGATACGATGATGATGTAAACGCAAATCTAGTCGGCGAATATCAATCATGGAAGATGCAAAATTTATTTCTGATTATTAATCAGAATCATCTTAATCGCATAAAATCATATAAAAGTGATTGAAGACAGAATAATCAAGCTGAGTAAAGAAAATTTATCCCCAGGAAGACGGAAGAATAATAATGAAGTTCTAGGAATTTTATAAAGCGTTTGATATCTTTACAAGATGCAAGTCTCATCCTCCAATTCAATCAACTTGATTATGGAACGAAACGTGACAAAAAGTTGGAGAAATCTTTTCTGCATCTCATTGAGACATTCTTGAAGTTTTAAATTAAAAAGTAACAGGAACGGAAAAAGTGGAAAAATAAATCTCATTTCTTCCTACGACCGTATCTACATAAAGCTCTTTTCACAGCCGTGTGACTGGTAAAACCTTGTTGACAAGAAGGTTATTGTATTATCCTACAAACTTCGATTCAATAAGAATTCGTAACCTTTCCAATGTGATTTATAGCTGTAGTGGGTGGAATGGAGATGGAGAATTGAGAAGGCACCGCTGCACGCTACGACACGGTAATTTTCATAGATTGAAGCTGATTATATGACGATGAGTTAAAGTCAGGTTTTTGGGGGTCTTCGATCTAACTTTGCTTTCCACCTGAAACTTCTCACGGTCTCCATCGATGATTGTAAATAACTGAATAAGCGAAGAAGAAAGAAATTGTTAATGCAAGAAGATTGACGTCGTTTTGTGGAGGAGTGGAAGTTTACTTTTCATCTATGAACGCTGAACTGATGTGAACGAGAAATCAAACAATTTGAAAGCAACAGTTGACAAGTCAAATAAATGAAATGAAGCTTTGTGAGATGTCACGAAAGGTTTGATTGGGGATCGTTGCTAAATATTCCCGAACACAATCGAAATAAAATTCCCGAAAACGTCTGTAAATGTGAAATCGATTTTTCTTTCTCAAATAAACAACGAATCTTCCCAGTTTTGATTCATTTGAAAGTAAAGGAGTTTGTCTGCTATTCAAAGCTCCACACATAAATCATTGAAATGTCGAGCAAAGCAAACAAACAAATAGTTCCGGAAAAGAATCTCGTGGAGGCTCAAACAAGAGAAAACGAGCGAAATTCTTCCATTCGACTTTAACATTTTCTTTCATTTAATTTTATTTATTTTTCTTCTTCCTCCCGTCGAGTTTTTCTTCATCTTCTCGCCTGTTTATCTCAAGATATGGCGAGTTGTTTGCTCATACGATTATATTGTCATTTCTTGGTGATTATTTCGCACACAAAGGCCACTCATGTGGACATTTTTTTGTTTTCCCATATCTGTCGACGATTAAGAAAACATAAATTTGATTTGTCGCATCAAATTAATTTCTTATTGTTGAAGTTTATTCGAACCCGCAACATTTCAATTTATTTTCGTCTTCTTATTTGAAAAAGCTTATATGTTAAATTGAATTTCGTTGTATGATGAAAGTAACATCAAGTCTTTTTATGCCATCATCTTCATGCTCATGTCAAGCTGTTGCTTTTTGTATGCTTTCAAGTTTTCATTAAATATTCAAAAGTGATTTTCCCATTTCAAACGCATTTTGCTATCATTGTGAATATTTTATTAAATTTTCTGCATATTTTTCAATTTAAAAGATTCTTTTTTCAACACCAAAGCTTTGCATATCGATATGCTTTGCTTTTTCATTACATAAATCTATTTTAACGTTTAGCCTAATCGCTTGTCAAGCAATAAAGGTAAATCGCAATAAATTTTTTACAGCATTTCATTTATACTTTTCATACTTTCATGATGCCACAAAATGATGAAATAAAGTTGATGACAGTAATCATTTTCAGTACGTAATCTTTATTCATTTATCGTCTTATCTTTCTGTGTATACTTGTCGAGTTTTTAGCAAACGCTTCCGTTTTTAACTTACAAACATCAACAACAACATCATCGTAACATCGGAAGATTTCCACACTTCACAGCTTTGCTAACATTTTTTTTTATATTTATTTACATCGTGGCAAGAAAATGAGATCATTATTAGATAATGACTTTGGTCTATTAGTCTTCTTGTTTTTCTTCATCTTTCACTTACATAACTCAATGACATGTCATAAATATTTTAAGAAAATTTTCTTCCTTAATTTCCTTTTTTTGAATTTAAATTTCATTTTTCAATCATCGCACCTCTTATCATAATTAGATCGTTTTCGCATCACAAATATTCATAATACGACATCCTACCATGAAAGCTGTTTGCTTATGAAGTGAACTCAAGTAAGAAATTTTCTCAAAAATTTTCAATATCAAGTTGATGGAATTGGTTTCATTTTGACGACTGCGGAGTTTAAATTGAATTTCTTGATATGGAATTATTTTTGTGACTTATGCATGAGAAAGCTTTTCAAAGACTAAACTTATGTACACCGTGTACATAGAATTATATATTTTTTCAAGGTTTCATTTTTCAAATCAGATGAAAAGAGAGAACAGAAGAAATTTTCCATTATCTGTCTTGTTAAGACCTTTGAATTTGCTATGAACTTACTAAGGAGCTTTTGTATCAAGATGTAGATTAAAATTAAAGAACCCAGTGGGGATTGTGGTATGCGAAATGTAAAAAAAATATAAATCTTAAGTAGAAGAAAAAATAAAGTCTTCAGAATATTTTATGCTTCAAATATCTAGTTGAAAGATTAGGTTTGCTTTTGAAAACAAAATCGTTAGTCTGGAAGAATCTTTTCAGTCTTTTTTACTTCTCAACTAACTCATATGTTTATTTGAAAAGGAAAAGTTTCAACTTTAACTTCTTGTTCTTATGTGTTGATAATGGCGGAAAATTAATATGAGTCCTATCAGCATTGGGTAGCATAAATCATTTTAGTTTTAGAAACTCAAAGTTTCTAACTTGAATGGAAAAAACATTTATTTTGTAGAAAGGTTTGAAAAGACGATTTGTAACAGTTGATGAATGGAATGACTAAGGTAAATAAATAAATATCTAAAAGAGATTTATCAACAAAATTCCGAAAGGTGACAGTTCAGCAATCGATAAATTACTAACTTGAATTCAATTCTTTGACGAATAAAATAATTTTGAAATTTCAACAACACATGTGAAGTCAAATGTATGGAAAATTTCAATTTTCTATTCAATAGATTTTAAACATAATTTCCATCTATTGTTCACTCGTCTTGCACAAAATATTCAATTATATTTACACATAACGATACATATGTACGCATTTGAGAAAGCGCACAATCGAGCAAACATATTTCCATTCTTTTTATTTTTAAAATGTTTTTCTTATTTCGAAACAAAAGAAATCTTCGAGAATCGAAACTCAATCAAATTTCGTGTTTATTTTGGAAACTGATTTACTCTTTGAAAGAATTGAGTTTTATGACTCACGGACATAATCAATGAGTTGATTCTTTTTCTGAAAATTCGAGTAAATTTTCATTGGAAAACACATTTACACGTGTAAAGATTTCCGTCTTTCTCTATTTTCCATTCTTTAAGTATCGCTGACTACAGTAACTTTTATTTAATAAGAGAAATTCAAAGAATTTTAATTACGAAGATCGGATGCCGTAAAACAAATACAATTGAGTCAGTGAAGTGAGTAATTAAAATCTCGGATTTTATGATCACCGAAATTTCTTTGTTCCGACCTTTCAAATTTCTTTGGAAATACATCATTAAAATAATTTATTACCTACAAATGGATAAGTAATCCTCAGAGATTTCTGAATGACTGTTATTTCCATCGATTATTAATGCTTTGAAACTCGCGTAAAAGCAAACGATGATGAAGCCGCATTTTCAAGAAAAGGGGAGACGTCGAATTGAGGAATTTGCTAAAATATTTTCACAGAAAAAAATCACAGAAAATAGCGTCGACTCGCGTCGCATTTAAGTGATTTTTCATTTATCAGAAAGCTCACAAAAAAGTAAATCCAAGAAATAAATTCCATTGTAAGAAGGAAGGAGAGAAGAAAATTGTTTCGTGCCACTTGAACGCATATTTATAGCACGATAGGATTAAAATTATTCGTATTACCTTCTTCCCCGTCTCGCTGGGTCTTTTCCGCCAAAAAAAAAAAGTAAGAATGCCAGACATTTTTCCATAAATTCATGTTGTTTTATGACTATCGATTAGTTTTGCTTTTATTTTTATTTAGACGCTTAAAGCGGAACAATATTTCTAATTCAATCATTAAATACTCGCATTTAAATTGCTGCTTTAGAGGCGGCACGCGTAATAAATTTTAAACTTTCATGATGCTAGCAGAGATTTTATTATCTCGTTTCTCATTGCGAGGGAAAATCTGGGACAATGAAACGATCCGAAAGAATGAAAGGAAAATATTGTAAAAATAAAATTTTGCATGAATGAATAATCAAAGATATGTTAAACTTTTATAAATATTTTAAATTCATATCAAAGCTAACATCAAATGAAAAGTGGTGACAAAACTTTAAATTTCAGATTGTTGTTGAAATAAAATTGTGCTTTGACAAACTGAGAGTTTTAAAGTCAGCAGATTAAAATTTCATTTTTATGCGGGGAACTGTATGTGAATATTTCAGCTAATTAATTAGCACTGTGGAGTCGTGTTTCATTATATACTTATTCATAATTAGAGTAAAATCTACTCATGTAAATTACTACTTCAAATAGAATGAATTCACAAATATGAGTAAATTAAGTTTATCGATTTTTATGATTATTGATCATTAAGAATCAATCTTGAAAACTATTCTGTCGTCATGATTATTAAGTATTAACGGTAGTGACATGTTAATTTTTCTTTTGTTGAGAACTAACGATTTAACGAACGATAACAAGTTTTATTTGACGTGGTCATGTAACAAAAGCTTTAATCCACCTATTTAATTATTTCATTCTTACAAACATTACACCATACTTGCTGTAATAACAAACTTTTCTTTATTCTCATTTTCACCGCAAATGTGGTTTTAAAAAATAATTTTTTTGTTCCACTCAACTCCGAACAATTGTATAAAAAAAAGTTATGCGTGAGAGAGAGGGAGAAACAAATTAAACATCGATTCACGATCGCCAAAAACCAGACACAGTGAATTTTTCCGATTGCCTTCCAATACAGGTTTCGTTCGATTTGCTTTTCTTTTTCTTTTTTTTCTCTGGCGATCAGTTGAGAAAATTAATGATTTTCTTTCCTTCTGTTTTCAATTCACTGAAGTAATGATGATGACTTGAGTCTGTCGTTTTTCACGTTGAAATATTTTCTACGTAATTATTCTTATATCTTACTTTAATCGCGACTTCATTTCGATTTACGGAGCGTGTTTAATTAAGTGCACAATCACCATTCATCACAATGATTCAATTAGATGTAATTTGTTGAAAGTGTTCTACGTTCCACCCACAACAAATCTCATCAAAGTGTTTTTTTTTTCAGATTGATATTCCACGAAAAAAAAGCGAAAGTCAATTCACTTACATTTTTTTTATTCCTACACGTTCGACGTATGCTTCCTGTTGTGATTATTTTCACTCCTAAAAAAATGTTTCTCCTTAATGCGAAAAATTGATTTTCTGCACTTGTTTCATGAATGAATTCACACAAAAATCCTTTTTTCCTTAACTTTTTCTACCTGCCTCACTTACTCTTATTTCCTTTAAAGCATCTCTTGAAACTTTCTCATCATCATTATAAATTTTTTATTTTCATTTTCTTCGTATTTCACTTTTGCATGTTCAAGCATTTGCCAGAAAGAGATAGGACTTGAGAATCACTTTTGCACCTTTGCAAAATTCAACAGGAAAAGAATTTTCTTTCCTCGCGATTAGAGCAGGATTTCTTGTGTTAATGAATTATTTTTTTCCACCTTCACTTCACAATAATATCTCGTCTGTTCACGTTCCCAAGACTGGAACTATTACAATAAAACATTCACACACGCACGAAACCGAAGAAGCAAAATCAGATTTCAGCAGATGAGATTCAAAGTAATGACGATGAAAATGATGAGAAGGAAAAAGAAATATGATTCAAAAAAGCGATTAAAAATTAATAAACGTGCTTTTTCTTTTGCTTTAATCTCCTTGGCCTGGGTGCGGTGGACCAGAAAGCCTTCTTTCGTGTACACAAGAAAAATCTATATTTGCACAATATTCCGAAAAGTGGATCTGGGAACTCCCACTTCAGTGCGAAGCACTTGATTCACTTGTAACTGATTTTTTTTATTATAATGTTTTTTCCATTTAATTTCGTTTATTATCACAATAATTTTTTTTCTTCTTCTTTTTCTTCTTCTCTTTTTGTAATTTGTGAAAAATTATAGGACTGAAAAAACAGCTCACTGGGGGACCACGAAAACCAAGCAAACATTAATGGACGAACGCTGGAAACTAACTGAAAAATTTCAACTGAGACCGAAATGAGGAAAAGCTTTGAAGGAAATTTTGGCGCATGTCAAATGAAAATTCGGCCAATTTATTTTGATCGTATGAGTGAGAGAAGAAAAATATCGAGAGAAAGAGAGAGAGAGGGAAACTTACGTGTTGTGTTTATCAGTGAACATCATGAAGCAACAGATGAAAAAATTACGACGACGAGCTTTAATCTTTTGCAAACTTGAATCGATTTTTTTTGTGGGTGTGAGAATTGTGGGTGGTAAGAAGGAAGTAAGAGCCATTGACCGAATTGCTTTTGTAGGAATAATTCTTACAACTTTCTTCCTTTTATTCTTGAAAATCTTTTCATTCAAACTTTTCATTCTTCTCTGTGAACGATATGAAGAAATGAATCGTCCTTCTTCGCCACCCATCGACCCACTAAACAAAGAGTTAATAAAATAATATTCTGAAATTTTCAAACAACGTTCAAAACGTGCCACGGATGAAACTTTTTTGTTTGCCATCGGGCATTCAACAGTTTTTCTCCATTTCCCATCGTTTCGTTATGAATTTATCTTCTTTTTCAACTTGAAACTTTTTTGTTAGAATTTGTGGGAGTTTATCGAAGAAGAAAAAACAATAAACAGCTTTTCGTTTACGATAATTTCATAGATAGTTGCATCTGTTATCCATGTACATGCAATAGAAGTTACTTATTAAATAAAAGAGTGCATTAAAAGTCCATTAAAAGAATGAAACTACTTTGTCAAACGATACGGAAATATTACGAGATTATGAAAAGATATTTGCGGAGAACAAGTCGAGTGTCAACCGTTTATGATCTCGATTCAGTGCATTTGAAGCAGAGTTGAGTATGGATCGTTGGACTAAGTAACAGTTAAAGGAAATAAATTGGAAAATTGTCCAACTCTGACTTTAACTTAACTACTTGGATTTAACCACTTGTTCACATCATTGTTTATAGTTTTTGTAACATTATCACGAGTATTAAGTAGAGAACTGGTAAACAATTGTTACATTGTCTTCTTTAAGCAGAGTTAACCAGTAGAAATGTTTTTATTTATTTAATCTCGCTCGTGAAACTTCTATTCAGGAATGCCTGCAACTAAACTTTATTCTGGTCACTGGTTGGTTTCTTTATGACCACTGACATTGAAATGTTAATTGGAATTCTTACGAAATGAACCATTTGGCTTTTTATTTTTCTAGATTTACTCTTCCATCGACAACTTGTCAGATTTGACACACTTTATTGTTTGTTTTTCCTTTTCAAATTCTTTTTTTTTTGTGTTCAACACAAGTGAATTGAGGAAATTTCAGTCATCAGATGATCAAAATCATTTGAGTAAATGATTTAAAATTGAATAAATTCAGATGTCACGAACTATTAAACAATGCAAGCAAATGAAGTTATAACAATAATATTTGCTTCTCGTTAAAAATATTTCACGAGAGAGATATTTTAGATTAAAATATCTAATTAAATAATTTCATTAATTTTCCTTCTTATATTTATGTCTCAGACTAAACTCAATAAATTATCGCAGATGTCTGCATAAATATTGAGAGAGAAATTGACATGAAATGAAAGTTTTCTTTATTTTCCTGCAAAACTTGCTGAGAACAGAAAATTTTGTCTTCTGATTCAGGCAATTTATTAATCTAACAAGTAGAGAAGAGTTCAAACTTTGGAAGTAGAAAATCGATAGTTTCATTTTTGTCTGGGGAAATTATTCCGAAAACTTGTTTGTAGAAGGAAAGGAGGAAGAATTTCCATCTGAAATAACAATTTCAATTGTTAAATAGTAACAGGATTACATTTTCTATATTTTTATTACACACATTCAGATATCATCTCTTGAAAAGGAGAAGAAGGTCCACAAAACGTAACATTTTATTAACTTATTCTTCCATAATCAATTTTCTATTGAAGTCTTCAAGCTGAAATGCAATTGAGCAGAAGTTTTGAAGACAAGTTTGTACCGACTCTGATTTCTATTTTGTGTAATAGAATTTGCTATGGAAATTGAAGTTTTTTATTCACACACCTAACCTAAGGAGCTTTTTCTATTGAATGAAATAACATCTCGATTCAAGTAACTTACCCATAAGAGATTCCAAACTTCTAAGACAATAATAAAAATGACATTGGCATTTCGTCGTAAAGAAATAAATTTTATTGATTTCTCTTTTGTGTTTGACATAAAAATTCTTTTTATGAGGCCCACACAGTTTATTGCAGTCTGACAACGAAAACAAACAAAAAAAGGAAGTCAACAGGGAGCGTTAGACGATGATTAAACTTTTTACTGTCTCTTCTACATTATATAAGATCATAAAGGTTGACTTGACTGCATACTTGTTTAAAATTACTCTCGCATTTTAATGTTCAAAACAAAAACAGAAGCTATCATCCTCTCTGTTTATTTACGTTCTCGTTGAATCAACTTCTCCGTAGTGCATCAACTACTTCGCTGCAAGAGGTTATCATCTCTCATTGTAGGTCATTGTAGATAACCCTAGCACCGAATTATAAATTTCTTTCATTAAACGTGAGAGTGAATAAAGAACTTTCTCATCACATTCAGTTCTTTTTCTAACAGCGATCATCAAGCATCGAAAATTTAATAGAAAAAAGTCATCTTTTCAATTTGCAATTTAAAAAATGTATCATAGTGAGAAAATTAGATTTTTCATCGTCATGTTTGGCATCACATCCGTTACAGCTTTTCAATTTAAAGCCGGACAGTGTCCGGAAGTCACACCAATGAGAGACTTCGACATGAATCGAGTAAAAATTAACTTTCTGATGTTATTAAATTGAAAATGGAAATAATTAAATTTTATGCTTCTAACAGTTTCTGGGATTATGGCATGTAGTTGAAGGAACTTTAACAAACAAGTCGATAGAATGCCTCACGTTTAATGTCACAAAATTGGATTCAAACACATTCGCCATGACACAATTGCCACAAAATCTAACATCAAAATTAATTCCTGAACATGATATTCCAGGAAGAATGAACATTGGCGTGAATGCATCGTCTGATGCTAATTTTAGTGTGTTGATCACTGATTATAGTGAGAGAAGCCATGTGGTTATTTTAAATGATCAGCTGATATTTTTATTTCATTTTCACAGATAATTTTGCTGGATTTTTCATCTGTAAAAATAGTTCCGTGGGTAATTTCTATCGTGCTGCGGCGGTCTTGTCAAGAACAAAGCAATTATCAAGCCTCCAACACAACATTGTGAAAGAATATTTTCACAGTTATGACGTTGCAGACGATGATCTAACTGGGATTATTAATACTTGTTAACAACATGATTTCTATTCGTAGAATTTTCATAGAATAAACGAATTTATATTGATAACTGAATCATTTTGTTAGCTCGGTCATCGAAGTGTACATTGTTGATTTGATTGAGGCCAAAAATATAATAAGGAAACATTTTAAGAATTCGAATTTTATTGATAATTTATTGTTCCGTTCGGCTCATTGTTTTTATTCATAATGGTTAATCGTCTTATCGTCAGCAAGTAAACAAGCTGATGATGACAAAATGTCCACATGAGTGGCCTTTGTGTGAGAAATAATCACCAAGAAATGACAATATAATCGTATGAGCAAACAACTCGCCATATCTTGAGATAAACAGGCGAGAAGATGAAG